AAGAACCCGAACTCAGTCGCGTCATTGTCATAAGAGTGATTGCCCCGCTCATCATCTGCACTGCCGGTTTCCGTGGGCAGTCATCTAAGCCTCGAGCTACGCATCGGCCCGGCAGGTGTCTTAAGCTGGACAGACTTTATCGATAGGGCTGAACAGAACCGGTTGATTCATCTCGACAGCGACATGCCCCAAACCCAGCCCGTTCACGATTCACACCGCTGTGCTTCTGTCGCGTAGGGTTCTGGCAGGATTCGATAGCGACCCCTTTTTCCGGCGCGACGAAGTCTGCAGATCTTCACTGGCGGCAGTTCAGGACCGGTGGTGGTGTTCTTCAAGACCAACAATGTTCAGAAGATGTTAAGGTCCCAGTACCATGAGCTCCTCGAGCTCCTCGAGCCAATGTAGGTTACCAGTCCGCTGCTGGGGCCTTCTTGGCAACATGTGTTGTTCGCCCTAGCCAATGACGGCGCGAGTTTCTTGAATCCGATCGAAGGGTAGAAGTTATAAATACACAAATGGAAACGGAGTAAATACAGGATACAAGACACAACTCAGAACAACCATCTCGCCAATCTCCCAAGAGGACTCATCCCTGCCGGCGACTCCTCCTCCGCATCGATCTCGGGAGGCGGCACGTTCGAATAGAAGTCCATCTTCTCCGGGCTTACCATCTTAGTCTTGCGGATGAACTTGTACGCGAGGTAGAGCACCGCGGCGATGGGCAGGTTGATGTACGCGATAATGAAGTCTGTCGTGGACCACTGGCCGTGGATGAACACATGGAAGCCGTTGAACACGAGGATCACAACGCTCCCTGGCATTCATTCATGTGAGACTGCGACCCGTAGTGGGAGAGGGAGAAGTCACGCACAGAAGAGCGACCAGTACGCAGGCCATGGCTGGAATCTGTTCCAGTAGACGAACTTGGTGCGGTCAATACCCTGCGCCTTGAGGCCGTTGTAGAATCGAATATAGACCCAGGAGATAATACCTGCCACACGATCAGCTGGGTTCAACCCTACACGAACAGAGAGACCCACCCCAGGTCGCAAAAGCCATAATGGTCGTTAGATTCGTGAGCCAATTGAGGGCCGTCGATGCGCCCTTGGACACAGCCATGTACGCGAGAACGATGAACATGCTCGAGAACGCGAGGGCGGCGATGGGCAGTCCGCCCTTGGTGGTCTTCGCGAAGATCCGCGGTGCCTGCCCACGGACAGCCATCCCATAGAGCATGCGGGACGTGCCGTACAGCCCGCTGTTGCCCGCGGAGAACGCGGAGGTCAGCACGCCGGCGTTGATAATCGCTGTGAGAGATTTGGTTAGCGACGCTGGCATCGGGCCGGGTAGAGAATTCTTGTGAAAACGCACAGGGAAGGACCTTAACGCCGGCACGCGTCATTGCAAGCACAAATGGCGAGTCGGCGGCTGTACCGGTTGACTGGAGCAGATGAGAGTCATTGAAGGGGACGAGCATGCCTATCAGGCGTGAGTGAAACGAGTAGCGAGACGTGGGAAATATGCCGTACCGACGATGAGGATTCCGCAGACATAAAATAACATGATGCGGTAGAACACCCGGCGCACTGCCTTTGCAAGGGACCGGCGTGGGTTTTCGACCTCTGCAGCGGTCATCGAGAGAGCCTCCATGCCACTGTAAGAGTAGGCCTAGCAAGACACCAATCAACACGGCGAATCGTGACATATTCTAAGATCAGAACTCACGGCCTGGAGGAGCGTGGTAAACCAGCCAGCGAAGCGGCCGACGTTCCCGGAGACGATGAGGGGTGCGAAGGCACCGGGATCCTTCGGCGTGTGTCAGTTGCCTTTACGCAAACGGACGGGTTAATCAACCACGCACCTTCCAATATCGGAATCCGATTCTGTCACCGTTGGGTCCACCCCCAAGATCGATGACTGACACCGGTGAGAATGTGGCGCTCCGCGTAAATGGGACACGTGCGACTCACCCAGTCCCCCAACTATACATCCGACCACGAGCATGATTTTGATCATTGCCTGCAGGCGACGGTCTGTCAGAAGACAGAGAGAGTACTCGGAAGCGAGGAGCGACGCACGAAGATAAACTCGGATTCACCGAACCAGCGCACGCCGAGGAAGTTGATCGCCGCGCACAAAAAGAGGAGGAGCTACGTGGAAGCCTTTTGAGCGCCCGGTCGAGAGTACGACACGAAAGGTACGCACTGTGATCAAGCCAGCGAGGTGAGCCGTGGGCATCGGGTTGTCCCAGAAGCCGATAACAAGCGTGGCGCTGATAATCTCGGTGGGAAGGGACACCACACCACCGTACCATTGCAACCAGCCGAGTGAGAAACCGACTGCAGGATCAATGAAGCGTTCGGCCAGGTGGATATCTGCATCCGCGTGAGAAAATGAAAAGGGAGAGGAAGAAGTAAATTTACATCCTCCTGAGATAGGCATGTAGCACATCATCTCGCCTAGAGACATGAGCATGCAATATGTGATCGTTCCAACGTGTATGTAGGCCAATCTTTCAACGCGCAGTTAGTCTTCGAGCAGCACGAGGAGAAGGAGCACTCACAGAGCACCCGCAGGTCCAGAGTGCGCAATGGCCTTTCCGGAACCCAAGAAGAGTCCAGTGCCCAGCGTCTGTGCGCCAATGAGCCCGGACTAGAACAGAGAGAAATGTGCTTTGACACACCCCGGCAATGGCAATCATCTGGATGTGCCGCTGCTTCATATTTCGCTGCACACCGTCGTACAAACCGGTGTTCACGTCGATCTTGACGTCCCGCTCGTCGACCACCGCGACGTCATGAGACTTCTTGCTGTCGCCGTCGAAGCCATCCTTCTCGTTCGAGTGGCTTGTGCTCGACATGCCTGCCCAAGTGGAGTAGGACGGTGAGTGGAGGAAGCAAGTGGGGAGGAGAGATGGAACGGCGATTAGCGAATGTTGGCTTGTTCCTTTATAAGTGCGGAGCCGATGACCGGCGTGTAATCAATGGGGGGTCAATCTGCCTCCGTTCGTATCAACGTTCGGACGATAAGAGAGAGGAATCGAACCTTAGTTGGCCTAATCGGGCGCAATCTGTCAGTAAATCCAGGGCATCCCATCCGTGGGACGATTGAGCGACATAGGATAGATGCGCACTTTGAGAGGATGAGGCATGAGTCGCCCAAAACGGATGAGCCACTGAGAAACAATTCGACCTGGGAGTGTACTAGCGAGACGATATGACAGGGAACATGGACAATGCCGTTCCTCCCCACTGTTCCTGTCCCGACTGTCTCAGGCGGAGAAACGAAGGACCGGAGGTTCGTATCAACGCAAAGATCGATAGACGCTGAGGCGCTGTCGTGACAATTGGAGGTGTCCGCCCCTCCTCGACGATCATGCATTTGATATCAGGGCTCCGAAGCCTTCCAAGACTCTTGAGAAGATAACGCAATCTCCCGACACGCGAGCGAAGCGGCCGCTCATAATTCGCTCCTCCTGAGAAGATATCGTGAATACGGCGGCAGATTGCGCCACAGTCGTCCGAGCGACCGATTATCGTGCCATTCGACATCGCACTGACACAATGCCCGAACGGGAAGAAGAGCGCTTGCGGAAGATGCCGAGACACTGCCATCATCCGGTGTGATGATAACACCGTGTTTCGCCGCCAGCGCCGTGCGCGCACGGGCTGGGTCCACCACGCTGGCCGCCTCGTGGAATTTACCTTCACTATGTCACGACGGATGCTTTTTGCAGCGAACTAGTTGCTTGGCGGTGCAGGAACGACTGGTAAGGGGTTGACGCGTCTCCATCTTTCAGTTGACAGGCTCTTCCGCCGTGTCCCCGACACAAAGCGATACCCTGCGGGGAGCGAGATTAGCGAGGTCAACAAAGCTTGATTGGCCATCCCTCCTCAAAATGCGCACTTCGCACGCACACGATAGAGCGGGCATCCGACAGATAAGATATCAAGTGCTCGTCGGACCCCCCGCCGATCTGCGACTAGAACTGTCCGAGAGGTCCGAACTGTCAACTCGAGCCGCGCAGAACGCATGCTCCAGGAAGCGCACGCAACAACGCTAACGACGCACGCGATCAGGCGAAGAGCTGACGAACACGAGCGAAGATCCAAGCACAAGGACAGGGGCATACACGAAAAAACGACGGCCGGTGTGAGTGCCCCTGTAACATTAGCACAGCCCTGCTCTCGTTTATCCTCCCGACGACAACATCGACAACTGGCACTTGCCTGCATTCGCCCAAACCAGGGACCATAATCTGGACCCTCTGGACCCGGAGCTGATCTCCGCCACTCCACGCATCTCCGTCGATCCCACGATCCAGCTCGCGTCCGCCCAAGGTGGGTCTGGGTTCTTGTCGCTAGACCGGGTGCGAATACTGTCCACGAAATCTCAAGTACTCGCACCCGCACAGTTGGAACTACACATCCCCGCGGCGTGGGGAGCACATCTGCAGAGTCTCCATGGCAGTCCCTCACGACGCTGCCTGTAACGCAGGCCGTGCTATCACACGGGAGTATGGGCTACGGTGACAAGAAATTTTATGTGGCTGTGCCTGTCATCAACTGCAACGGTCCTCGGTTTCAACTGAGTCATAATTGTGATTCACGTATGACGAGACAGTTAATATTCCCTGTGGGAAATGAGACGTGGCAAGTTGGAACCAGTCATGATGAATGCCATGTAGCTCGGATTGTGGGATCCGTCTAGAGTTGGTGCGATCCAGAACCCACGGGGCTGTTTCACTGGGACGTGGCACTTCCACCACTACCACGCTCACTCGAGATCGTCTGACGTACACCTTTCCATACCATGCAGCATTTCAATCGAACAGAGAGATGCTTCCGAACTGACGCCCTTCATCAGGAGATGTACACCAGAATATCGTCGACCCGGACTTACCACACCATCAGAGTCTGAATCCGTGTCATTCCCCTCCCCACCGTCAGCCGGATCCAGATCCTGTTCGACATTCGATTCGTCTGCGGCACGGGCGTCGGTATCCGGCTTAAGGACAGGTCCTGCAGCGGTGCCCACCGCGGACAGCATCTCCTTCACGTTCTTGCCCTCGAGCGTCTTCGCAAGTAGCGTCGCCCAGATGGGCTCGAGCTCGATATTTGCAGCGGTGGTGAGGGTCAGAATCTTCTCAGCCTGGGCAAGTTCTCCTGAGTAGGATCCAGCTTAGCGCAGTATTATCTATGTTACTTACTGTGATATCGACGTCGGCGTCAGCCAAGATAAGGGCTGCGTAGGTTGCTGCGAGGTCGGATGACTGACGTGAGGTTTTTTCAGGTACATTGCACTGCAGGATGTGCCGTAACGTCACCATTAATCGAATTGGCTGCAGATTGAGGTGGAGAAAAGTCGTATCTATGAGTTGGGGAGTTTGAAGGCGCAGACGCCGCGGCTCTTATACGCTCTTTATTCCTGCGGAGCCGTACTGACTGTAAATCACTCCCCGCGACCAGACCGTCAAAGTGAGTTCAAACTCAGATTCACTATCAGTGGTTGTAATGTTACTGTGACACGACCCACGTGACCCACGGTTCCGTCTGAGCACCTGCGGCGTGAACAATGTCATTGCACGTGAGAGCGAGGTGTCTTAACATCCACACGTGACACTGACATGTTTCTAATTGCTTCCACTGGGGCTGGGCCTCGAGAGCTACATAGGTGTTCCCAAGCAACAACAGAGATCATCGATTACGTGACATATTTCCAGCACCTCCGCTATATCTCACGCCTCACGGGGCGCAGGCAAACACTCTTATCGCTTATTTTCCGACTCAGCCATAAGTTTCTGAGGATTGATATTCCTTGAGACAATACAACGACAAAATGAATGGCTGTTTCCGAGTAAGACACAGCGCCATTCATTTCCGTGGCCCGCAAGGATCTCCTTCAACATACCAGTAATCCACGAAAAACTAAACAAGGCGGTCCCCTGGGGGATAGCTATGGAATGCAACTAATGAACAGGCCTCTGCATGCCTCGAGGCGGTTTGGGACTACGGAAACGGTCGGGGAACTCGATCGGGCAAATGCGCCATGTCGGACTCGGGCGGGGGCTCATGAAATCGATGCGCTGAATGGATGGACCCCCTCCCGAAAATTCTCCGGTTGAATTGGCTGCCTGGAGCTGAACAATCGACATGCCAAAATGAATACGTCATTTTGAGTAATCTTAGCTTCGATAGATGAGTGAGTATGCAAGCGGAGAACGCCCGGCACGAATCCGGAGGCTCCAGTGACGGGGCCGACAGCTCAGCTCATTTGGTCGGCATCTCTCGCCGTTGGCCGTCAAATGAATCTCTGTCAAGTCACTTGAAGTTTCCGGTAAACTTCTGAAACCAAAAAAGAACGTAAGGCACAAAACCTGCGCACGGCGTATTGAAGACAGGCCGAATCGGTCCGCCTCGCTGATCACCCGGGTGAATTGAGCACCATCACTCAATGGCGAATACAACATGCACAGCGATGTGTCAGCGCCGACTCCAGATGAAAATCTCCGTGAAGAACTCAGTTCCTAGATGATTCGCACGATCCGGGATCTTCACTCCAAGGTTCTCATGCCTGTCGGTGCTTTCTTGGTACCACACAGCCCCCCCCCACGACAGAATATACCAACACGTGATCGCGTGTTGTTAGGCGGGAGCACAGCTTTTCTGCCCTGGTAGGACGACGACGACGACGAAGAGCAGGCGACCCTGCCCCTGCCCCGTCGCTCCTCGCCCTCCTTCATGCACGCTATCACCGCGCTGCATTTCCCAGTCTCGAGTCTCGACCCCCCTGACCCGTCACGCCGTGCGAACGTAGAGCGGAGATTGTCGGCTGGTCTCTCTGACACTGGGCGTCGTTCCCAGGCCGCTGTTGGGTGCACGCCGACCTGGCAACACGCGAGCAGTTCGGGAGGAGTCACTCGGCCAGTCAGACATCCGGATTTCTCCAAAGTTTGCATTTCGGAGGCTGTCTTTGCGTGACGGCTGGGAAATGGCTGTGGTTACGGTCCGTCAGTGCGATCGTCATGATCCGGGTGCAGTCGCAGATGGATGGACGGATGGATGAATGAGAGCCTATAAGGATGCCTGGTTCTCGGGCATCTGGTGGACACAGGTCGCCTTGGTCGTCGTTGTCGCGAAGCGGGCTTGTTTTTTCCCATCCTTGTTTCCCCTCCACTCGGTCTCTTTCTTCCCCGTTGCTTTTTCCGTGCTCAGTCGTGGGCTTAGTCCTGATGGCTGCTAGTTCAGTTCTTGTCTTCTCCTTCTCTCTCGTTGCCAATACGTGCGTGTTTCGTTTTTGAGACGTTGTCAAGGCCGAGAGGCTCATGGTACGCCCGCCAGCCACGCACTTTATGTGCCACATTTGGACACCAGTTTTGCACGGTTCGCACACGGCGTATTCTCCTTAGATCTAATGCTCATGCCCTTTCTCCAGCATCCCGCCATTGAAACCTCGGGCCTCAGAAGCCGCAGCTTCAGTGCCTGCCGTTGAGGTTCTGGGTCTCATCGCGGCACTTCTGGCCGCGCTCGGCGTTATGGTGATCGCTGGCGTATATGTGCACCGCCATAGGCTGACCGCCGAGCCTGAGAAGCCGAGGTTCGGTGTCCGCCTGGGACTGGATGGGCAGGGGAAGTTGTCGGGGTTGGAGGACACAGACGCGGAGTTCCAGCCGACGAAGACGAACAGGCTCGCAGCGGAGACGCCGCTGGTCGGCCCCACACCCATCTTCATACCCCCGCGAGCGCACCTGGAGCCCGTGAGCCTCCCGCGCCCCTCGATCAAGCCTGGCGTGGCCCGCTCGCCGATGCACATGCCGATGCCCACGGCTAGACGACGCTCGCGCTCGCAACTTGGCGCGCATCAGGGCTCCGTCGCCCCACTTCGCCTCCTCCCACCGACTCCGGGGCGCAGTCAAGACCCACAGCCCCGCCAACACTCCTTCGTCCTCCCGTCGAAGGTGCCTGGCTCGCCGTCTGGGATTTCTACTTCCGACACCAAGGACGGGCGAGGAAGTGTGCGTGCTCCAGTTCCGACCCCGTCTGCGTCGGAACACGCACGGCGAGACGCGTACCTGCGCAAGCAGCTTGAGAAACTCGCATTCTTGAGCGAGGACCCGATGAGCCGCCGTCACTCCGACGCTGACACCGACGCGGCGTCGCTTGTGTACAGCCTGCTCTCGGCTTATCCTACGGATGACGCTGCGTCCATCGCCCATTCAGATATGAGTGTGGGAGTGCTGCAATTCCGGAGGCCCTCCGAGGTCGACACGATGAGTCGTGGGAGCGGTCGCATCAATTTACCCTCGCCATCGTTGACTGTTCCGCACTTCTAAGGCAGCAATAGGTTAACAATGTGTATTTCTGCGGCGTGTAATTAAGTCAGATTGTTTCATATCTCTCGTATAATTCAATACCTGCTCTATGCAAACTCATCTAATGTATACATGATTTTTGGTAGCTTCCGATGACGAGGTCGTTTTGTCTGTTCGTGAAAAGGAAGGGCGAGAGGAATTTGGTCATGTTTCACCGTCTTCTAGCCAGGCATGATTCCATCCCGTTCTCTCGCTACTTTCCTACTGCAATATGTATAGGTAGTGGGGAATCGGATGGCCGGGGGCACTTGGGCGATGGTTTCGCAAAGCCGACGAGGTCAAAATAACCAAGTCATAGAGAATTATCCGCAGGAGCTCCAGTGGGCTCAACGTCCCCCTCAGACAATGAGGAGTGTCGGGCCAGGTTCCAAGTCAACTTGGGTTGAGAAACCTGTGTTGGTGCAGATCCCGTTGTTTTGGTGAGCGCTACTACCTACGAGGGCATTGGGACTTCACATTTCAATCCCCTTGACCACGATTGCAAGGACGCCGGCCACGATAAGCTCCGAGGCTTCACCGAATCTGAAAGGGTGCCTGCATCCTTTGGTAAATTACTTGGATGACAGTCAAATTACCGAAACCGCCGCCGTGTACGAAACATGACCGAAATTACTACCCAGTTGGCCTTGTTCCTATTCAAGTTATTGGTGGCCGTGTCCGGGGACAATTCCAAGAACCCGGATGTTCTCTTGCAACGGGCCTAGAACCCGGGAAGGTCGTTAGCCGATAAATGCCAAAGCTCTTGGTCAGTTGACTGGTTCGACGTCTGAACGTGGCTTAGCAGTTCACACCGCGGAGGGAACACATCTCTCCGTTCCGCGATGACACGCAACTTTTCATATCTTATCTTGTCAGCTCAAGTCACGCACAGAGCTAGAACTCCGATCATGGAGCTGTAGAACCGTGTTGATCGGTGCAGAGCGCAATTGCATCTCAAATCAAATCGAATCGCACAGAAATACTGAATTAACCAAGCAGGATCATTTCATCTGATGCGATGTTCAGCCATGATACGGCGTGGAAGTAATGCACGTGCCGTGGCTTGCGTGACGCGCCCGAAAATGTCACAGCACGCAGCCAATGACCAGACTGACGGCGCACTTCCCCAACGAACTATGGATCGCCATCTTCTCGCACGTCGATCGTCTCTCACTGCGGGCCCCGCACCTGGCATCGCGGCTCTTCCATGACCTCGTCCACCCGCTCCTGTTCCACACCGTCGACTTCCACCCGTTCCGGGCCTCGACCAAGGGCACGACGATGGTGTACAACGCGTTCGCCGGCCAGCACGAGGTGGTGAACAACGTGCGGCGCTTCGAGGCGATGTGCGCGGACCCGGGCGTCGCCCCGCACGTGCGCCGCTGCGCGTTCTCGTCCTTCCATCGATCGACGGTCGACCCCGCGCCGGTGCACCGCGCGTTCTTCACGGCCTTCATGCAGCTCGTGCGCATCCGCCACCTCGAGCTGTTCCACGTGCGCATCGACGCGCACGCGCTGCGCGCGCTCGGGGCGTTCGAGCTGCTCGGGAGTGTGCGCGTGACGGGGTGCGAGCTGCGCCTGAGCGATGGCGAGGCGGAGGGGCTCGCGGGGAGCGTGCGTGTGGAGAGCATGGCGTGTGCGATCGGGGGGACGCCGGAGTACGTGCGTGGGGCCGGCGGGCACCGGTGGGTGCAGGTGCTCGACCGGACTATTCTTGAGGCGCTTGTCATCCCGTTCTTCGATCCCACGGTGTTCTTCGAGCAGTGTGTGTCGGATCCTGTGGCGTGGCTGATGCCCCGTCTGCACACGCTCCGTGTGTCGCTGCGGTTGGACTGGGGCTTGTTGCACGCGTTTGCCGCCTTCATCCCGCATCTGCGCACGCTGGAGCTGCACGAGTGGCCCGCTGCACCGCCGGAGCCTGGATCAGAGCTGGTACTGCTGAGAGGGATCGATTCATACGAGGGCCCTCACTGCTGTCTGCCGCACTTCCCTGCCACAGCGTCCCCGACAAGGCTCTGCATCGTGGCCTCTGACTCGGATGCGGTGCTGCGCAGTCTCCAGGAGACGTCTGCGCAGTTGGTCGGGACGAGGACGTTGCTCCTTTCGGCCCATATCATGCAGCCTGACGTCCTGCAGCAATGCCTTGTGTTCTTCCCGTCGCTGCTTGAGCTGCATCTCAAGGTGCACGACATCTCGTGGCTGGCGATGATCCACCCGATCGTGAACGTGCATACCTGCGAGGTTCGCTTCCATCTGTCTCATATACTTCTACTGACCGAATACTCATTTCGGTGTGCAGACATTCCTCACGGAACTCGCGCATCCGCAGTCGGAATTCTGCCGTCACCGCTCCCTGGAGAAGTTCTGCTTCGTCTGGAACACGGTCGGCCGCTACGCACTGACCTCGGACCGCGACGGCGACGACTCGGATGCGGACGACGAGGGCGAGGACGACGTGCTGTTCCATCCGATCCGCCTCGACATGGCGCGGGCATCCAGGGTCGCGTTCGCGGACCGCCTGCCTCGGCTTCGGGCGTTGTGGATCCGGAACCCCGTGTCCGATTACCTGTGGACGACGGACTGCGTTGGCGATCGGTATCGCGATGCAGCGCTCCAGGTCAATGGTGCGTTTTGATACAGCAGATGGTTTGATCTCTGGCCGACGACTGATGCGGCAATTTTGTTCCACTACTTGCAGAAACGGCCAAGCCGCTGACTTCGAGCTGGATGCAGGACAGCGGGCATCCGTACGCGGAACGGTTTTTACTTGCTTGATTTGGTTGGTTTTGTATCATGATTCCAATCGCAAGATACCGTGATACCTGGGTAGCCGTCCTGTCCTACGAACACATTTCATTATCCTCTAAAGCTATGAATGAAACTCGAAATGCCACAGTGGTACTGCAAAGCGATTTTTTTTGTTCAGTCGCCGTAAATCGTGTAGACGGCTGGGGCGGGCCAAGTTCGAAGGTCGGTTCATTGAGTGGGCACTTCCTGCTTGCTAGTCACGAAGGAGCGACAAGGTGTATAAGTGCACGACATCCATCACGTGGGCTGAACAAGACTGCCTGAATGTTAATTTGTTGCCAAGCGCACCCGCAGGTCGGCATTTGGGACCAATGTGTTGGTGACATTGTGAAGCACGCGCCGGGCAGAACAGCACTTGCGCAGTACCGCGGTAGGAACCGTCAAATGCATTGTTCAGCGAGGAACATCCCTTTTCAGACTACATACTACAATAGCTCGACGGCATATCGCTCGAGAAGGTCGTTTATCACAATTTTAAGCCGGATTCTCGGGGTAATGCTGGATATTTCGGGAACCTCGAAGGAGGCAGCTCTAGCAAGGAACGAATTCGTCTATACCACAATAAATACATCAGCTAGCTATATACATACCGCCAATCTCAACTGCACGCCGAGTTCGGCATCACCATGGCCTTACTGCACGCACAGACCTCTCCTTGGGCGTCTTCACCCCCAGCATCACCCCGCCAGTCATCACGCGCGTCACGCCCCCGGGGTACTGGTACGCCGTCGCGGTGGGGCTGAGAGCGTATTCCGTCTTCCCGGATGTATGCCGTCCTTGGGTTGGACTCGGTGCGTGACTCGACGGCGCGGTAGGTGCGCCATGTTCCGGACGATGCTGGGGCCTCGTCGGCAGGAGAAAGTAGTGCGATTCCGGAAGGCCCACGGGGGGCAGCCCGTTCCTCATCTGGGCATCAAAATGGCTGATTCGGTCGGACGTGCGCAGGATCGGGCAGAGCGTATGGGTGCGAGCGGGAGGAGAAAGCGGTGGTGTGGGTGTCTGGGTCTGGGTCGGAGCGGGGGGGAGGAGCAGGGTGGTTTCTTTCGTCTCGCGCAGCATCGCACGGATGCGGGCGGAGATGAGCGCCGCGCGGAGCCTGTGGTGTATCCCCTCGTCGTGTCGCTCGCTGAAGCGACTGGGAGGAGGGTTCTCGCTCTCGCAAGCGCGGGGAGACGGACGGGAGGATGTGCAGTTCATGAACGAATGTGGGGGGGGCTTCAATGTGTCCCTTCGTCGCGACGCCGAAAGGCTATATATGCTGGTCCCTATTTCAATCTGGCCGTATCGGGAGGAAGGAAGGGCTGCGAACGACGCACCTGGGAGCTGTCAAAGCTTGAGGCCACGACGTTCCGACAGCGAATGAAAACAAACGGGACAGCGAGCGCGCAGGCGGAAGGTCCGCTCACCCGAGCGAGAAATGCCCATTTCTATCCCCGCACAGCCGTGTCGTCCAGTCCAAGAACTCGTTTCAGTCCATGGAGAAACGAACACAGATGGCAACAAATGCAACCAATCAAAATAGCGGGGCCGAATCAGTTGATGGCAACAGATCTTTCCCACCGTCCTGGATGACAAACAAGCTGATGAAATTACTGATGCACAAACGGCAGCAAGGTCTTCACGGCCCAGCGCAAAAGACATCCCCTCTCATTCCTGACTCTCCTTCGTTCGAAATTCGTCTGAATCTGAAGATCCGTCTGATTGGGCTCAGCTGGTGTTCGACATTCAATTCAAGAAAGCCAAGCGCGGCTGCTGCAATGCCAAGTAGTCGCGGGGAAGTTTCTTTGCAGAACGTGAGATCCCAGGGGCCCGAAGAGCGCACCGACTGAATCTCTCATCATAGATTTCACTGCGAAGGATCTGGGGTGGTAACCAGAGCCCCACTGACTGTTCCCACTGTCAAGAGATGCTGAACAACCGCAGCCTGGAAGTGTGGCAGTTCATTTCGAAAGTGTCTAGATGAGAATTTTGCTCGGATTTCTTTTTTCAACAGCAGTATCATCTAGTCGCTAGGATGTCCACGGGGCGCTTTCATTCTGACCAGTCGATGGTGTCCGGAAATCAAACAACCGAAGGTGCCTCCGGCCCGGCCATGTTCACGTGACTGTCCGTCCATCAGATTGGTGACACACCACGCTGACATTTCGGGAGGATCAGCTTCCCCCTTCGGACAAAACCACCACCACCATGGCACCCGGTGCAGAGCCCGACGAACGCGCGCCGCTGCTCTCACCAGAGACGAACGGGGCCGCTCCCGAATACGGGAGCACGCCCGCGCCCGACCCCGCGGCAACCTCCGACGCGGAAGGCGGCGATGCGACGGCGGCGAAAGTGCCGCGGAATCTCTTGGCGGTGGTGCGTGACAGCCACTTTTCCTGCGCTCCCTGAAGCGCGCGGCGAGCTGGACTGACGCGCCTGGGGTGCAGCTCGTCCCGATGGGACTTGGGATATTCTTCGCGTCGATGGACCAGACGATTGTCGTTTCCTGTGCGTCGGTCGGGCTTTGGATTGGCTGGGCGCCGGCGGCCTGCTTATCGTCGTTCGTTTTCCAGCGTACGCGGCAATCGGGAGCGAGCTGCAGCAGCTGCAGTACACGAGTTGGATATCGACGGCGTATATGATGACGTTGACGAGCTTCCAGTACGCCCCTTCTCACTTTCAGCCTGGCCCCCCGTGCGTGCAGTGACCTGACGCAATCCCGGCAGGCCGCTTTACGGGAAGCTCAGGTTAGCAGTTTGTTTATCTCTATCTCGTCTCGGTCTTATCGGTTCTTCAAGCGATATCTTCGGCCGAAAATCATGCCTGCTCTTCGCGTATACGATTTTCGCGCTCGGGTGCTTCTGCTGTAGCATCTCGCAGACGATGCTGCAGCTCATCCTTGCGCGTGGGCTCACCGGCATCGGTGGTGGGGGGATGAGCACGTGCGTTGTCCTTGTCACTCTGCAAAGCATACGCGCGCTGACTCGGCCCACGCAGCGTGGTGAGCATCATCATGTCGGATATGGTGCCTCTGCGGGAGCGCGGGACGTGGCAAGGCATCATGAATATTATATACGCCTCAGGAAGCGCGATTGGCGCGCCGCTCGGTGGGTTCCTTGTCGATTCGATCGGCTGGCGGTGGTGCGTCCGCGTGTGAAGCTTACGTCCGTTCGAGCCTGATCACAACTCAGGGGGTTCTTTATGCAAGTTCCCGCGCTGGTTCTGGCGTTCATCAGCGTCTCGTTTGCACTGCATCTGCCGGAAAGCGACACGTCCGACCTCAAGTCCAAGCTCAAGCGGGTCGACTTCCCCGGCGCCTTCGCGCTCGTGCTGACCGTCTTCTTCCTGCTCTTCGGGCTCGACCGCGGCGGCAACATCGCGTGGCACGACCCGACGACGATCGCGTCGCTCTCGGTGTTCGCCGTGCTCTTCGTGCTGTTCCTGGTGATCGAGTTCCGGTGGGCGAAGGAGCCGTTCGCGCCGAAGCGCATCGTCGCGCACCCCGCGCTCGCGGGCGCGTACCTCGTCAACTTCTTCGCGCTCATGGCCGGGTTCAACATGATCTTCCACATGTCGTTCTTCTACCAGGCCGTGCTCCGCAAGACGCCCAGCGAGGTCGGCTTCTGGCTCGTCCCGGGCGTCTTCGCGGGTGTGTTCGGGAGTCTGGCGGGCGGGCTGATCATCCAGGTGACGGGCAGGTACTACTGGGCCACGGTGGCTGCATATGTTGGGTTCCTCGTGGCGATCTTCGCTCTCACGCTGCAGACAGGTGTCGTTATCCTGTCCGGTGTGGGCGTCGTGATCGGTGAGTCACGAGTTGTTCATTACTTGTACCCAGACCGATGTTGAATCGTCCAGCGGGAACCTTTGCCTCGATCGGGAACGGTGAGCAGCGTTGTTTGAATTAATTCTGGTACTTTCGCTGAGGAAGCAAAGGTCTGGGAATAACAACGACGCTCATTGCCCTCATCTCAAACGCCGGGCCTGCAGATCAGGCCATGGCCACTGCCGGTCGGTGCCTGCTCGAAAAATATCGCTTCAACGCTGACAGATGCACTCCCCAGGCTCGTATCTCTTCCGCTCGCTGGGCTCCGTCATCGGTCTCTCCGTAGCTAGCACCCTCCTCCAAAACTCCCTCCGCAGTACGCTGCACAAAACCCTGCCCGCCGGGATAGACATTGAGGAGGCGCGTCTCTTCCCCCCTTCCACCGCCATACCCGTCATAACAGATTTTCTTCCTCTCCAGATCATCCGCCGTGTGCGCGAATCGCTGGCGTACATCGACGAGCTCGAGCCGGCGACTGCCGCGGTCGTGCGCATGGCGTACGAGCGCGGGCTGCAGGTCACGTTCTGGTTCTCGTGCGCCGCGGCGGCCTGTGCGTTGGTCGCCGCTGTCTTCGTGCGGGAGGCGCCCATGGCGCGTCGCGGCTGACCGCTCTTCCCACGGTTTCAAAATGTTCACGCGGAGGAGCGTGGGGTCGAGATTAGGGGCGAGGAGAGTAGGTAGTCTGTCAAATGACTGCTCATAAATGTTAAGGCTATAAGTATATGCCACCCCAAAATAGAATATCGCGCGGCTTGTATGCCAAGGGGAACTCCAATGTACAGGTCGTATGATTGACCGGGGTGCATTCGGGCATCCGGAAATAACCGCGGGACGTCCGCTGGGCCAACCCAGCGGAGGCCCAGCGGACCCCACTTTTTGACAGACCGCCGCTCTCGACGACGACAACGAGTACGGCTACTGGATGTATGTCAGTAGGTAGTTACATGTAAGTTGTGCCCGTGCGTCGTAGGGGACAGGTAGCGGATGTCGTCGTTCCCGACATCAACAATGTGTCAGGTTCGAATCCGGCGGAGGCCCACTTGAAGCGGCGCCGCACCCAGCGGAGGTCTGGCGGAGGTCTGCGGAGGCCCAGCGGATGTCTGGCGGATATCTGGCGGTGGCCCAGCGGTGGTGTGCGGTGGTCTGGCGGTGGTGTGCGGAGGCCCAGCAGTGGCCCAGCGGATGTCTTGCGGATATCGCGCCGCGGTCGACCAGCCCCACTTGTGACTGCCATCACCACGCGGCGCCGGAGCGCTTGTAGTCATAGTGATAGTATCGTTTCACCAAAACAATACTTACTCTCATCGGGTCTCGTGCGTGTTGATGCTGGGCACAGCCACATCCATCACTCGCCGTCATCGTCGACGACGATGAGGACAAGGCGTAAAATTTAAGCACACTATTTTATTCTATGAGGCGGTAGGTCTTATACATACATGTCACTTGTAACTGATCGTTCTGAAATCCAATGATTGTGTCATGAGATATTTTCATTCTAAGTCAACTGTGTAAGTAGGTCATTGGATTGTTGTCGACTTGAACGACCGTTAGGATGTGTAATACTGACATGAATACACATATGGTCGAATCTGCGAGAAAGGTAGTAGCATACTTAATATAATGCAACAGTGGACGCTGTGGAGGACGGCGGAGGTCCCATAGACCCGGCGGCACTGTGGGACATGTCCTGCGGAGGTCCAAACCAACATGCGGACGTAGGCGGAGGTCCCAGCTGGACATGCGGTGGGCCCAGTTCGATCCGCGGTGGGCCCAGTTTCATATGCGGAGGCGGTGACCTGGCCCAGCGGACCCCAGCGGAGGCCCAGCGGAGGCCCAGCGGGTCCCGCGGTTAATTCATGTAGCCCGGTGCATTCGATGATTCAACTCTGCAGCAAGCCATAGCAATGGAAGGCATCGCGAGTAGCGGATAGTGCGAGGTAGCAAATTTGGAGGTGGGAGAGAAACCAAAAGGTTCAGATGGTGTAAATAGGTGATATCGGTACGGGTGTGAGGCCATCGGGAAACCGCAAAAAAGCATAGCCGTGGACTATACCGGAGTCGAACCGGTGACCTCCCGCATGCTAAGCGGACGCGCTACCAACTGCGCTAACAGCCCGTGGCAATCGTCTTCTTGTTTAACACTGATGGTTCCACGAATGACCCAGGACGATGATGACGAGGAGGATGACGATAATGATGATACATGTATGGTAATAACACAGAAATAAAACACGACTTGAGCTCAAACCCGCTCATTAACCCCGACGGTCCCCTTCTCATGCTCACTGCTCGTATGGTCATCTTCGGCACCATGCGCCGCCGCCGCGTGTCCGTGTTTGCGGTGCAGCGCATGCACGTCGTGGTACTCCCGATGCATCTGGGACACCACTAAAAATATCCGGATCAGTGATTTTGAGCAGGGAATCCAAGCGAGAAGCGCGAAGCACACACCGCGGTCCGAGTCGACGAACACCAGCTCGTAGACCAAGCATGCGAGGATCGTGGCCGGGATATTCGTCAGCGCGGCAATGGCTGCGTACCCTTTGTTCCCGGCGGCTATTTCGGTGTGAGTCAGGAAAAAGACACCTTCTCGAAAGTTTCCACGGGGAATCAACAACTCACCGGCGGATCCCCAAATGGACATGGCCGCGAACCGCCCACCCAGATCACGTGCTGCATTGGCGGACAGTCCCACCGCAGCGAAGCCCCAGATGGCAGCGGCGCTGACCCGCAGTTAAAGAGGAGGAGAATGAACGCAGAAGCAGACTAGGCACGCACTAGGCCATGGCGATGATGAACGGCGCGGTCGAAGGGGGGACGAGCACGTTGCTCGCATCGGTGGCGCCGAAGATGACGATCGCGAGGAAGAAGTCGCACACGAATTCGTTCAGGAAGACCTGCCCGAGACTGCTCCCGGGCGCGACGTACAGCGCGAAGATCCCGGGCAGGCCCGAGGGCGTGTACTGGATCGCCGCGAGCACGGCCGGCGGGGTCGCCGCCTCGATCGCGAGGATGGTGTGCCGGTACTGCGCGTAGATGAGCAGACACGCAATGTACCCGCCGAGCAGCTGGGCGACGATGTATCTGCGTGGGTGTGTGGTCAGCCCACGTGTGTGTGTGTGAAGGAGAGAAGGCAAGCTCCGGGCCGAGGGAGTCTAACCCAAAAAGCAAAAACGGGAGGAACGCACCGGACGGCTTTGAGCTTCGGGAAGCCCTTGAAGAGCACCATGATGATGGTAATGCACGGATTAAAGTGTCCGCCCGACGTCGCGGAGCATACCGTAATCGCAAGGCAGATGCCAGCGGCGTACGCAAACCCAATCTGCATAATCGCTTGACCGCAGCGTCAGCCTCTCCATCCCACCGGCAGCCAGGAGCAGCACGACATACACGACGCGCCGACCTCTTTGAGCAGGTTTCCGACGACCCAGACGGCCTGCGAGCCCACACCGGCGTACACGCTGTGCCCGGCGTCAGTGTCCGTGTCCGTGCCAAGGCGGCGAGGAAGAGCCACGACGACTCACTACATGAAAACGCCCATGGCCTCAGCAAAGCACTCGACGAACGGGTGCATGGGCCCGTGCCGCAGCCGCTCCCAGCGCGACATCGCGCCGGAGCGGTGGTTGATCTCATTCAGGTACAGGATGCGCTCCGCATTCGCGTGCGAGACGGTCCGGGGGCGGTTCATCGTGTCGTGCGGGCAGTGCAGTAGCGGCGGAGAGGGGGTACGGACGTGGCAGAGAGGCAACAACGTACGAGCGAGCGAGAGTGTAAAAATCTCGAACGCTTACTTATGTATGTTTGTTTAACGTGAACCCCCGTGTGCCCAGGGGAAAATATGTCAAGCGTGGGGACGCAATAATCTGGCGCAGTAACGTGAGCAGGCCGTGTGACCCTGCGTCGTGCGACAGAATGATACGCACGGAGTAAATCGCCCCTCGTGCCGCGCCTTCGTCTGTGTGCGCACCTCGCAGATCGATGGGAAAGTCTGGTGGTGCATCGCGGCAGCCGACGGATCCAGGCAGGAGGCAGCGGTGCCCCCCCAAAATCTGCACCCGCGCATGCTTCCGCCCTATCCGGTGCCCCCGCATATCCTTGGTACTCAATTCCGGCAGAACCTTTAGTACCTACCAGGGACGGCATGTGCCTGTCGTTCGTCGTCTACGCAGTAGTATTATCCAATTCATCGATCATAATGCGATTTCCCACGCATCACCGGCCTTCCCCGCACTACCCCAAGCCCATCCACCCATCAGTGGGGTTAATGTGGGGTAATAAACGGCTCTCCGGCCGCCGGGCAGCCTGATACCCTGCGAGTCTCGGCGGTCAGCTGTCCCGGGTTTGTTTCAAATTCCGTCTGATCGTCGAGCGACACACAGGATTTCAGTAGACAGGCAGACAGAAAGGACTAGCTTGGTTCTCTTGTTAGTTACCCCCGAGCGGCTAGTCTACATTGGATGTGTGTGGCATCCATCTGCCGTTATTCCGCGTGCTGCCCAGGCACGCTGAGAAATGTATATATCGAGGCTCTGGCTCGGGTGCTGTTTGGGGCCGCGAGCTGATGATCGCTACTGGGATAGCTCCCGGGCCCAGGCCTACAAAAAACCGACTAGGAGAGTTCTTGGGCAACACAGCTCCTGATGTGTGATGGGATCAGCCATCACATCATTATATGCATTGGGCAGGTCTAGGCTGCGTCTGCCCATTTCCTGAACCTATTATCGCTTCTGTCCATGGAGATGAACACGGATACGGGCCTACTACTACCTGGTTCGTCGGCGATAGAGCACCGACGCAGGCACACACTCCACCGTCCCATCGCCGCGCTGCGCGATTTTCTTCCACTTGAGCACAGGCGCGGACCGCCCCAGGACGCTCTTCCTCCAGACCTGCCATGTCTAAAACCGGCCACTTGGATGAGGAAAGAGTGCTCCCCAGTGCGCATAAGGAATCGCGCGACGTCGAGGAGCAGCAGGACATCAAGGTCGATGTCCACACGGGCCTGTACGACGGGGTGAAGCGCAACATGAAGCAGAGGCATATCCAGATGATAGCTATTGCCGGGGTGCGGTTCGACTGGTCTCTCTCCTGCTCTTTGTTTCTCAGGTCCGCAGACGCTAGGCACAGGGTTGTTTCTGGGCTCTGGAAAGGCGATCGCGCATGCAGGACCTGCTGGTGCTCTGTGCGCAGTCCCGCCTTCCCTCTCTCTCGACGTCAGTTCACAGATCCCAACTGCGCCAGCCTCGCATACATTCACGTCGGCACGATCAGCTACTGCATGCTCATGTCCCTCGGCGAGATGATATGCTACATGCCCATCTCCGGCGGATGTAAGTCTCCGTCTCACGTCCTCAGAGCACGCATCACCGTTTCTCAACGACCCGCACCGCAGACATACATCTGGCGGAACGTTTCGTGGATCCCGCGGTCGGATTCGCGCTGGGCTGGGTGCAGTGGTACGGCGGCGTGGTGTCCCTCCCGACGGAGATCATCAGCGCGACGCTCGTCATCGGGTTCTGGGACACCCCGATGCCCACCGCGCATCTGGTCGCCCTGATCACGGTGCGCCCTTGACACCGAGTTCTCTCTATCCCTCGTGGGCGCTCGCTCAAACTGGTGGGTGCAGCTCCTCAGCGTCTTTTGTGCGGCGATCAACTTCCTCGGTGTCCGCTGGTTTGGCGAGTCCGAGTTCATCTTCGTGAGTTGGCTTCGCCGCGATTCTCGTCAACCGACCAATGGGTGACGTCCGGGCCTTAGGCCATGATCAAGATCATGCTCGTCGTCGGTTGTGTCGTCGGAGGGCTGGGTGAGTTCTCACTCTCGTTGCCTACTTTGAAAGACCGATTCATTGAGCTACCAGTTATCGATCTGGGAGGTGGACCGGACGGGGATAGAATCGGATTCCGGTATTGGGAGGTGTGCTCTCCCTTCCGCAGAGGTGCTCGCATCATAACGAGCCTTCGCACGGTAGCATCCCGGCGCCTTTGCGCCGTACATTTCCACCGGGAACGCGGGGCGATTCGCAGGGTGGTTTACCACACTGCTCCAGGCTGTCCGCCTCGCTTCCCACTCGCACGCAATCAGCCGGCTGACCGACGTTCTCAGGCCTACTCGTACAGCGGCATGGAGAATCTCGCGATGACCGCGGCGGAGGTGGAGAATCCGCGCCGCTCACTGGCCAAGGCGGTCCGCCGAGTCTTCTACCGCATCATGCTGTTCTATGTGTGCGGCATCCTCGTCGTTGGTGCGTCACGAACTCACACTCGGAAGAATTCATGAATTCATTGATGCGGTTCAGGCATGCTCGTTCCATTCAACGACCTCCATTTGCTCCAATCGACCGGGACGGCCGCAGACTCCCCATTCGTTCTCGCCATGACGCGTGCCGGCGTCAAAGTCCTTCCCTGTTAGTCTCTCAACAGTTCTCGACCCCGTTACCAACCTCCTCACTCGCTGATCTCACAGCGATCATCAACGCCGGTGTGCTGACCTCCGCGTTCTCCGCGGGGAGCAGCGGGCTGTATGGAACGTCGAGGAAGCTTTATGGAATGGCGCTGCGGGGGCAGGCCCCGCGCATCTTCGCCAAGACGACCCCAGTGCGTGTAACGCGTCTCCGCGTAATCTTGTGAGAATAAACGCCAAGGCTCGCCAGGGCGGACTCCCAATGGTATCGCTTGCGTTCTCGAGCGTGTTTCTCGTGCTCGCGTACATGGCGGTGAACAAGGGCTCCTCGACTGCGCTCAATTGGCTCACCAATCTCACCACCATCCGGGCCTTCGCCAGCTGGGGTGAGGGGCTTCCCATTCAGGCACACAGCATCTCATTTGATGGTACGATAGGCATCATCTCATGGGTGTACATCCGCTTCCACGCCGGACTTAAAGCGCAGGGCATCGACCGGACGCGCTTCGTGTATTGGAGCAGGTTGCAGCCGTGGGCGGCGTATTGGTCGCTGTTCTGTACGTCCCATCTTCCCCTTCACCGTCTGCATTTCCCTCTGGTGAACTCTCCTCGATCTCAGGGAGCATCATGATCGTCGTGTTCAATGGCTTCCGGGTCTTCGTGCACGGCCAGTGGTCCACGACGGATTTCATCATCGCGTACGTCAACCTGCCCATCGGCGCAGTGCTCTACATCGCGTACAAGCTCATCCGCAAGACAAGGATGGTGGACCTGGAGAAGATGGACTTTTACTCAAATGTGCCACCGCCGGATGTCGACTCGAATGAGGCGGAAAATGGGGCGGGAAGGGGTATTTGGAGGAGAATTTCAAGGTGGTTGTTTTGAGTCCACGATGTTCCACTACTTTTCAACGCTGTATCCCTCGGATTCGCCTTTTTTCTGCAAGTCCACTACGTTTCTAATCGACCTCAGATCTCTCTCATCGGTGGCCGGAAATGCCTCCTCAACATCTGGAACAGGTTATCTACTACACTGAAACAGGAATGACTGCATTATGTCTATCTGGACCATCGATTGAAAGTATCATCGAGTGAGAAGATATCTAGACACGCTGTAAGTATTTACTACGTCAATGCTTTCAGTCCGGTGTCCTCACCGAGTAGGTGACGGTCGGGTTTACCTCAGTTTACTGAGGAAAAACCTTTCCTCGAGAGGCCGCATCCACACACCGGCGCTGGATCTGCGAGCTTGTGTGACAGGTAGTGTCAAAGCCAGTTCCGATTGTTCCTGCGATATCACTCGCAACATCCGACCCGACCAGTGCTGAGAGGAACCGTTCGATTGTTCTTTTCAGATTTCCCCATTTGGGATGCACGTGCCTTTGCACTGCCTCACCGCCGTCGCTTGCGGACTGGCTCCGCCGATCATCATATCTCCATTCCTCAGTGCGTTTACAGGCGCACGGACACTCCCGCCTATGTCAGTCCGATTGAGTGCAAATTAAGCCCCAAAATTGGCCTTATCTCAGGGCCAGATTCAGTGCAAATAGGCCCAAGAGCCCAAGTCCCAACCCCAGTTAGAGCAAATTGGGGGCTTTGCCGGTGGAACTTTTGGACCATATATGTATCATCGGTGAGAGGGTCAGATCAGCAAATTTTGACCTATTCTTGGATGAAATGGAGAGCTTTTGAAGCATATCAAGAGTGCTTCAAAATCAGGGCCATCATGGGCAAGAAATGGGTAAAAACACCTGAAAAGGGCTAAAATGATAGCATATCTCAGTCCGACTTAGCACAAATTAAGGGCTCCAAAGGCCAATTTCATAGTGCAAATCAGGCTGGCTCGGCGGACTGACATAACGGGGAGTGTCCGTGGGCCTGCGTTTACTGACTTCAGCAAGCTCTGTTACATCCCTAAATGGGTCACAACGAAACGGATAAGTATTTGTCAAGGCACATTGATGGCACAACAAGGACATTTGTGGGTACCAGAGGCACTATTTCACTTTATCGGCAATATCTCACTTTATCCGTTGCGGAACATCGCCGCCCGATTGATGCCTCCGGCCGCTGACAGCCCGGTTATGCGTCGGTTACCGGTAGCCGAAAAGAACAATCGAACTAGGCCTCCAGTGCTGATGTGTACAAGTTTCAATTACAGCCCTTTCGGAAAAGGTTGGCCGGAACAGTTTTTCGCTAACGACTTGTAAAATTTGATGAAATGATATGATGGACCATATATAGACTTAGCTCCGGATATCCATCCGCTTAAGCTTAGGGGGAATTCTGCACCCTCCAGTTTTTGCACTGGTAACAACATTCTATTGCATGTTGGTGTATCAGTGAGGACCTAGAATCAAGAGAGATCTGACTGCTGGAACTGCGCTACCTTTGGAGGAAGCGTGCGGAAATCAGAGCGGAGTTTGTGTCGATGCGGGCAAATTTAGAGGCAAATGTGTTGTGAGGGTATTGTCATCGGAAAAGCCGGATATGGTGGCTCTTGAAGGTAGGTGTATGGTATCTCATATGCTGAAAGAGGAGATCTGTTGAATTAACTAGGGTTTTCCGACATGAACAGCTTAAAAATGGGTATGCGAGGATTCTGGTTCCGGAGCTAAGTCTATATATGGTCCATCATATCATTTCATCAAATTTTACAAGTCGTTGGCGAAAAACTGTTCCGGTCAATCTTTTCCGAAAGGGCTGTAACTGATACGCGTGTATACGACAGGAAGATGTCTTCCCTAATCCTCAGTTCTTGCCCCAGAACTGGTCCGCCACAAACTCCCAAACGGCCTGGGGCCTGTTCCACGTCTCATGTGTGAACTGGAACTTTTTCGTGTCCGGCTCATACACATACTCGAGGATACCATCCTGCTTGTCGATGTACGGAATCGCATTGCGGAAGTTCAGGCTGAACGATTCGAAGATGGGCAGCGGCTGCGGCGCCTGCGGATCGTCCTGCAGGCCGGCCGTCTCGAGCTCAGACAGAACGCTGCCGTAGTCGGTCACCTCGGACCCCTTCACGCCGCCGTCGAATTGGGAGACGAGCGAGATCGGCGTGCCCCCGAAGACAGCGGAGCGGACGCCGTGCTTCTGGAATAGGTAGCTGCTGAAGACGGAGCACGTCGAAGCGCAGATGCCGTTGGCGACGAAGACGATGTCGGTCCCGTTGAACGGCGGGTCGACAAAGCTCGTCACGCTGCTCGAGTTGTCGCCAAAGTCATCGAAGAACGGCTTCGAGTATGCGTCCTTGACGCCGTTGATCGTCTGCGGCACGGGCGTCTCCATGAACTGCGAGTTGTTTTGCAGGAGCACGTTGTCTGTGGGGTGCGCAGGTCAGAACGGCAATGAAGGGAAAGGAAAGATCATGTCACGCACTGAGATCACGGTAGAAGAAGTACGAGTACTCCGAAGCTCCGAGCTGCGACTCAGCGGCAACCTGGGCCTCGCGGCGGATCAAGTCGCTCTCGCGGAACACGGCGGGGAATCCGGGGTACAGGTCCTTAGGCCACAGCGACCACATCGCGATCGCGCCAGCGAAGATGAATCCACCGCGATTGCCGGACTGGTCGACGATGATCTTCTCCACGCCCGCAGCCTTGAGCGCATTGAGACCCGAGAACAGCGTGTTGGACATGCCGTTGAAGTACGCTTGCGCGCCCGTACCATCGGACGGCTCAAACTGCTGGAAGTATACGACGCCGACTTTCGGGTGGTCCCTGAGCTGGTAGATGTCGAGCGTAGTGATGTGACCGAACGAAGTGACTGGAGACTAGCGTCAAAAGATGCATCAAGCGAAAGCACATGACCTACGATTCGGGGTGACCAAGTTCGCGGAAGCAGCCAGCGGCGTGACGTTCTCACGAATCGCAGCCTGCGCATCGGGTGCGACAACAGCCTTGCGCAAGTTCATCGGCGGAGCCTTGATCTGCTTCTGCCGCTTCTTCAGCTCCACCTCCCGCTTTGCGACGAGGCCCGGCACGCTGAAGCAGTTCTGCTCGATGAAGGACGCGGTCGAGTTGCCTCCACCAACGAGCGTCGCGGCCCAGGGCACCGTGATCGTCTGAATCCCCGCGCTCTTCGTCAGCAGCGTGACCGTCACCGAGTCTGCGCCAGGGTAGAAAGCGCGCATCCCGAACCGTCCGACCTCCTGGGTGTACAACCCCGCAGCGGTGTCGGCCGAGTAACGGGCCATCAGACGCATGTACCGGGGCCCCAGGGTCTCGTATGCGCCGACGAGGCCGTTGTAGATGCTCGACTCTTGTGCGAGCGCCGTGAGGAACGTGCCTGCCTCGATACCGTTGATAGACAGCACCTGGGCGCCGTCATACGGGCGCACGTGCACGCCGATGCTCTCAAAGTACGCCTCGAGCCCCGACCGGCCCTGGTTCGGGAAGTCGTAGTTCACGAGGAACGTCGGGTGCGCGAGGAGCGACGTGGGCGTGTCGGCCAAGGTGGCGATCGAGAAGGGCAGGTTCCAGCTGAAGGATTCGGTGCAGCTCGCCGCGAAGAGCGTGTGGCCGTCCGCCTCGCGGTTGTAAGCGTCCGTGATCTGCGCAGCCCGTGTTTTTAGCCTCATGCGCTTGGCGCTGAACCGCACGACATACCGCCAGGTTAAAGTCCCAGTCCGTCTTGTACCCCTTCGTGTTCGTCGTCTTGTTCACGCCCTGGAGCAGCGCGCGCACGTCCACGCTGTGCGGGATGAGCGGGTTCGGCGACGCGCGGAACCACGTCTCGAGCGAGTAGTACTGCAGCGACTTGATCACCGAGTCGATCACGAACGCGCTGCGCGTCTGGTTGAACGGCACCGCCAGCTCGCACGCATGCGCGACCTTGCTCGACACCCATTTTGACGCTGTCGCGGCTGAGCACGGGTCTGCCGGGCTGAAAAGCGTGTGAGATAAGGAGAGGTAGGCGCAGGAGAAGCGACGTACGCTGGTGCAGCGGCAGAGGCGGTGGAGGCAGCAGCCAAGAGCAGCGCCGCAGAGGCAGAGGAGAGCGCGAGGGGGAGCATGCTACTGCTGGGCACGCGATTCAGCTAGCGCAGGGCCTATCGTGTGCGCGCGGTGCTTATATACATGCATAACAGCACACCCCACATGGTCGTGCCATCCACCCTTCGATACGGCAACACGGAAACATTCGAAGAACGTTTAGAAATCCTTGGGGTTCTGGTGCCCGGTGACACGACTTCTCAGGCCATCGCCCGTCGGTCCTACACGGTCATTTCTTGCGGTCGTGCTCGTAGAGGGCTTCTGTCCTCGCTTGCGCACCGAGTGCAGTATGCCGTTCCTCGTTGTCTCGTTGTCGGAAAGCTGCTCGTGAAAAAAAAGTTCCATCTGATCGCCATGTGGTGGGTTCGCACGGGTATCCTCGTTATCAATCCCGTGATTACGCCGCTGGCTGCCTAATCGCTGCGACTTTTTAAGGTCCCGGGGTAAACCCGCTTCATGGGATCAGATTCTGGCAGAAAATACCCTCGCGGAGCAGTGCGAGAGTTGGGTTAAATTTTCCCATGTCGAATCTCAGCGAGTGAGGACGCTTTGTCAAACGACCCCGGTGACCTGCTGAAAGGGCTGACCACGTGTGACAGCGATGCAAGACGGAGCTCATTGACGCTGCTGATGATATCATATTTCAATTGAATTGTGCACAGCGATGCATGATTGATCTGATCATATCGACGATCGGCCTGCTGATTCCAGAGAGTGCTAACACGTGGTTCGTGAAGCCTGAAAATACATAATTACCTTCAAAAAAGCTAGAGGAGAAAATTAGATGAATGGTGCCATTTACAGCGGTTCCCGAAAACCTTGAGACGCACGAAAAAATGTATTTTGTTCGCGTAGACACGATCAATCTTTGATGCCCCCCCTGTCTGCAATAAGCGGCCGAAGCAAGCTTGGCTTGGCTCGGCTCCATGCCTTTCCACCATATCAGCAACGATTTGAAGGAGCGTGCGCTGTGGCTGCTGGACAAAGGTTATCTGAACGAAGAAGTCTGCGACATTCTCTGTGTTTCACGCGCGAGTCTCTATCGCTGGCGCAAAAATCTTCTCGATCACGGGGCTGTCCATCCACCCACCAATCCACTTCAGGGACGGCCACAGGCTTTGAACGGGATTGAGACCAACAGCCTTCTCTCCCTGCTTCAAGACTTCCCAGAAATGTATCTTGACGAGATCATGGATTGGATTGCAGTGACTCACGACACGGGGATTTCACGGAGTGCTGTTGACCGGCTGATTCGGGATTCCTGTCAGGGGAACCCCTGCTTTCGTCCGATCATCATGGGATCTCGCATGTGACCACGCACGTGCCATCTGTCAAGCGTCACATGCTTCGGTCCGGACTTCCCTGCCAAGCACGTCCACATGACACTCTGGCCCGGACCCCCATTGTTCCGACGGTCCGGCTCCCATTGTTCTCCCCCGATCCGGCCCCTCATCGTCCCCTGGCCCCATTGTCTGGCGCTTCCATTGTGCTTGGTCATCCATTGTTCTGTAGGCTATATATAGTGGGCCCTGACAAGGAGAGTCCCCAACTCGGTTTCTCTTTGGACTCTCCCTTGTCAGGTTTGCCAGTCTCCTGTACTAGTCGATCCTCTTATCTGACGCTTTGGACTCTCCCTTGTCAGGACTCTGAGATCGGGCCTCGAGGTTGCCCTTACAGCAGAAACCAAGTTTCTAGGGATAACTGGACAAGCTTGTGAAGACCGCCGATAGCGTCATACGCCTCTCACTTCCAATCTTGTCCCCTCCTCCCCCTCTACGATCATCATGTCCTACATGGAAGAAGAAGACCACGGGTCCTCCCCTGAGCAGCGACTTGGTAATCTAGAGGAAGCCATGCAGCGAATAGAGGGACTCCTCAACAACTTCATAATCGAACAGCAACAGCCTGCCCCTGTCCCTGCCCCGTCTCCGGCAGTGGGTCCAGGCGTATTTACTGGCCAACAGGCCAGCTCGAGACCCCTCATCCGCCCCAATCCCCCATTCGCGTTTGACGGAGATCGCACCCAGGGCAAGACGTTTCTCCATTCCGTCAAGCAGTACTGGCGCCTCCTCCCTGAGGCCTTCCATGTGAACGGGGTAGTATCAGAAGAGCGGGTGGTACGTTTCGCCCTCTCCTACATGTCCAAGGACTCGGCGGCCTCCTGGTCAGAACGCATGTCAGAGCGCCTCGTCTTCCCATTTCCGACCTCTTTGTGGCCGAGTTCAAGTTCCGGTTTGTCGAGGAGAACGAGCAAGACCACGCCCTGGCACGGCTGGAGACCCACGCTTACTACATGGGATCCCGCGACGTGTTCAAATACACGGACGAGTTCGACGACCTTCTCGACTTGGCGGGTTACTCTGACAACTTGGTCAAGGTCACCAAGTACCAGGCGGGTCTGGACCCCAGAATCAATCAGGCGATCACGACCTCCGGTAACCCGCCTAGCCTCACAAACTACTCGGAGTGGCGTACCCGCGCATTCCGCCAGCACAACGCCGAGATGGCTGCCCGAGCTGCACGAGGACAGGTGTTCTCTCCATCCCGCGCTCCGCCTCCTGCGGCCCCCCGCCCTCGCCCCGTGGCTGCTCCGGTGGTTGCTCCACCTCCCGCTCCCCGACCAGCCCCAGTAGTCCTCCCACCGGGCATTCCCATGGAGATCGACCGAACCAGAGCCCGCACCGGTGTTCGTCGCACCTGCTTCCGATGCGGCAGCCCAGGACACCTGGCCCGAGACTGCCCGACCCCCGCGGATGTCCGGCACGCTGACGTCCTGGACAAAGTGATCAATCAGCTGGGAAGCGACCTGTTGGCGGAATTAGTGGCCCGGCTAGCAACTACAGCGGCTGTAGAAGATCACGAAGCGGAGATTGCCGACGAGTTGGAGCAGGGTTTTCTCCCCCGCGACGAGTGAATAGTACGCCCTCGATCGCCTCACGTAATCGTTTTGAATGTCTATATGATGAATGCGACCTCATTTCCCCTGCAAACGAAACGATAGACGTACCCCCTGCCCCTCGCTCTGTCCCGCTGGCCCGCAAGGAAAAGTGGGAACGAAAACTCCCTCAGCGCTACGTGGTCGCAGCCTCCCCCGGCGCCAACTCCCTGCACCTCCCCCTAGAGATCCAGTCCACCGACAACGCAGTCCAGCTCGCCCTCAACGGACTGGTCGACTGCGGTGCCACGTCGGACTTCATCGACTCCACCTACGCCTCCGAAAACCGACTTCCGGTCCGGCAGCTCTCCCAGCCTATCCCAGTCTACAACGTGGACGGCACGCCAAATGAAGCCGGCTCCATCCGACAAGTTGCCGATGTGGTCCTGCGTTACCAAGGACACAGCGAGCGTGTCCAGCTCGCCGTCACTCGGCTTGGCAAGCAGAAATTGATCCTCGGCTATTCCTGGCTTCGGAAGCACAACCCGGAGATCAATTGGGACACCCAGGAGGTAAAGATGAGCCGCTGCCCATCGGGCTGCTCCACCTGCACCGAGGAGTCTCGCCAAGAGAGACGGATAGCCCGAATTTCGGCCCGAGCACTCCGGTCAGCCCGACAAGGCCCCGCCCCCTCCATCTGCGTCGTCGACATGGAAGACCGCGAAGACGAGGCTATGCCGCTACTCCAGGAAGACGACGGAGAAGATTCCGATGAAGAGGAAGACTGTCTGGAAACCGGTGACCGTATCTTCTACACCCGTTTCAACCCTTCTGAAAACATCCGAGCCACTAGCACCGTCTCCCAGCGTCTTGCAGAGGCGTTTGCCAAGAACTCCGCCCCCTCTCGAGATTCCATACCCAAGTGGGCGCGCGAGTTCGAGGATGTTTTCAGCAAGGAATCCTTCGACAATCTTCCGGAACGTCGCCCTTGGGACCACGCCATCGAACTGGTGCCCGATGCAAAGCCAACAAACTGCAAGGTCTACCCTATCTCCCCCTTGGAGCAGAAGCAGCTCGACGCTTTCATCGAAGAAGGCATGGCCACCGGCCGAATCCGACCCTCGAAGTCCCCCATGGCCTCCCCCGTCTTCTTTGTCAAGAAGAAGGATGGCAGCCTACGGTTTGTCCAAGATTACCGGGCACTGAATGCAATGACAGTGAAGAATCGGTACCCCCTCCCCTTGATCAACGACCTGATCAACAAGCTCAAGGGTGCCCGCTTCTTCACCAAACTCGATGTTCGATGGGGCTTCAACAACGTACGGATACAAGAAGGAGACGAGTGGAAGGCTGCGTTTCGGACCAACCGTGGGCTCTTCGAGCCACTGGTGATGTATTTCGGCCTTACCAACTCCCCTGCGACGTTCCAGACCATGATGAATGACATCCTCCAGGACCTCATCCTCTCGGGCGACGTCATGGTGTACCTGGACGACATCCTCATTGCGCACTCCGATCCTCACCTCCATCGTCGTATTGTGAACGAAGTCCTCCGGCGCCTCCGCGAAAACAAGTTGTACCTCCGAGCCGAGAAGTGCGAATTCGAGATGGAGTCCATCGAGTACCTCGGCGTGATCATCTCCCACAACCACGTCGAGATGGACCCCGTCAAAGTGGCAGGCGTAGCCGAATGGCCGGCCCCCTCTAACAAGAAGGAAGTGCAGCAGTTCCTTGGGTTCACTAACTTCTATCGGAGGTTTATCCGGGACTTCTCGCACGTTGCACGCCCGCTCTTTGACCTCACCAAGAAGGACGTACCATGGTCTTGGGGCAACAACGAGTCGACTTCGTTCCAGGCCTTGAAGGATGCAGTTACCTCTACGCCGGTTCTTCTCCTCCCAGACTCCTCCCGTCCTTATCGCCTAGAGGCGGACAGCTCCGATTTTGCCACAGGAGCCGTCATCTCGCAGCAGTCCCCCTCAGACGACAAGTGGCACCCAGTCGCCTTCTTCTCCAAAAGCCTTAACGACGTCCAGCGCAACTACGAGATCCACGACAAAGAGATGCTTGCAATTGTGCGAGCTCTAGAGGAGTGGCGGCACTTCTTGGAGGGCGCCGAGTACCCGGTGGAGATCTGGACCGATCACAAGAACCTGGAGTACTTCCGCAAGGCCCAGAACCTCAATTGCCGGCAAGCCCGATGGTCGCTCTACCTATCCCGCTTCGACTTCACGCTCCACCACCAACCCGGCCGGCTCATGGGACGACCAGACGCACTCTCCCGACGCCCGGACCACGGAGCCCCTTCGGACAACACGGACGTTACCCTGTTGAAACCGGAACTGTTCCATGTGCGAGCACTCAAAGGACTGTCCGTCTCTGGCCCGGAAGCCCCGCTTGTCCGTGACATTCGGGAATCGCTCTCCGGTGACCCTGACCTTGAGGAAGAACTTGCGCTTATAGCGCGACGGCTTCTGAAAGGGATGAAGGGGGCCCGCTCCGCTGTAGCAGCGGAATGGCGCATCCAGGACGGCCTCCTCTACTTCCGTGGGAAGCTAGTGGTCCCGCGCGACAGAGACCTACGGCGACGCATCCTTGAGCAACATCATGACACCCGCATTGCGGGGCATGCTGGCCGCTTCAAGACGCTGGAGCTAGTCTCCCGGAACTACTGGTGGCCCCAGCTCTCACGACATGTTGGCCGGTACGTGGCCACCTGCGACCTGTGCTGTCGGACCAAGGCCCTCCGACGACTCCCCACTGGAGAGCTTCACCCCACGGAGATCCCCTCGGAACGTTGGGAATCGGTGTCGGTGGACTTTATCGTGGAGCTGCCTGAGGCGCACGGCTACGACGCCATCATGGTGGTCGTTGATATGCTGGGGAAGCGTGCCCACTTCATCGAGTGCCACACTCGCCTCTCGGCTGAAGGGATGGCTTGGTTGTTCTACAAGCACGTCTGGCGACACCACGGATTACCCATCAAATACGTCTCGGACCGTGGCCCTCAGTTTGTGGCAGACTTCACCCAAGAGCTATGGAAGCTGGTTGGCGTCTCCCCTGCCACGTCCACTGCTTACCACCCGCAGACTGATGGCCAGACCGAACGGGTCAACCAGGAGTTGGAGCAGTACCTCCGGATCTTCACCAGCTACAAGCAGGACGACTGGGATGAGCTCTTGCCCGCAGCTGAGTTCGCTTACAACAACCACGTCCACTCCTCGACCCAGCAGGTTCCCTTCATGACAGACACGGGACGTTTACCACGCATGGGATTCGAGCCAACAGAGCAGCGCTCCACCCGAGCAGAGTCCGCCAATGAGTTTCTGGACCGGGTCGCATCGGGTGTAACCGAGGCTAAATCGGCACTTGTCAAAGCAAAGGATGAGTACAAGAGGTACTATGACCGACGAAGGACTACCGCTCCCGACATCAAGGTTGGCAGCCGAGTCTGGCTCGACGCCTCGGACATCACGACGACGCGACCCTCTCGCGGCCTCTCCCACCGACGCCTGGGCCCCTTCAAAGTCACCCAAGTCGTAGGCCGGGGCGCATACAAGCTCGCCCTTCCCACCAGCCTCTCTCGCCTCCACCCAGTCTTCCCTGTGGTCAAGCTCCAGTTGGCCGAAGACGACCCGTTCCCCACTCGCCCGTGTCACGAGGAACCACCCCCTGTCCTGGGACAAGGCGAAGGAGAGGAGTGGGAAGTGGAGGAGATCCTAGACGCAAAGATGCGCTACCGGAGTGTCTGGTTCCGAGTACGATGGAAGGGCTACGACCCGTCTCATGACCAGTGGGTCAAGCACTCAGATGTTTTTGCTGACGACGCAGTGGCAGCGTTCTACCGCAGATACCCGGGAAAGCCACGCGTCATTGCAGCAGCCGTATTCGACTCGCTACCCTTCAGGAACTCATCGGCCCCTAACCGTACCTTGCGTCGAGGCGCCGCAATCAAGAGGGGGGGTGATGTCAGGGGAACCCCTGCTTTTGTCCGATCATCATGGGATCTCGCATGTGACCACGCACGTGCCATCTGTCAAGCGTCACATGCTTCGGTCCGGACTTCCCTGCCAAGCACGTCCACATGACACTCTGGCCCGGACCCCCATTGTTCCGACGGTCCGGCTCCCATTGTTCTCCCCCGATCCGGCCCCTCATCGTCCCCTGGCCCCATTGTCTGGCGCTTCCATTGTGCTTGGTCATCCATTGTTCTGTAGGCTATATATAGTGGGCCCTGACAAGGAGAGTCCCCAACTCGGTTTCTCTTTGGACTCTCCCTTGTCAGGTTTGCCAGTCTCCTGTACTAGTCGATCCTCTTATCTGACGCTTTGGACTCTCCCTTGTCAGGACTCTGAGATCGGGCCTCGAGGTTGCCCTTACAATTCCGGGCTCACTTACAAGATGCTGAAGAGGGCAGCCGCAGAGAGAGATGAAATGGCAAGGGAGGAATGGATGCACACCATCCAGACAACATTCCTGTCTTCAATGATGGTGACTGTTGATGAGTCTAGCAAGGATGGCAGAACTATCTATCGGAAGCGTGGCCGAGCACCGGCGGGACAGCGTGGTTTGCTTGAGGCTGATTTTGTGCGGGGGGAAAGATATAGTATTTTGGCTGCCATGAGTGTGGATGGCTATGTTGGCACACAGATTGTTTCTGGCTCAGTCGATGGGGATGAATTCTTCGATTTTATTGTTGAAGATATTGTATGTTTTACAATCAGCCTACGCTCACTTTTTCTCATCCAGTTTCCAGCTTCCACAAATGAATTGTTTTCCAGCGGATCGAAGCGTTCTCATGCTTGATAACTGTGCAATCCACAAGAGTATCTTGCTTCGTGAAATTGTGGAGGCACAAGGAACAATGCTGATTTTTCTTCCACCATATTCCCCCGACTTCAATCCAATAGAAGAAAGTTTCAGTGCCGTCAAGAGTTGGATTCGGCGGCACTGGAGGAGACTGGAGCACAGTGGGACACCAGAGATCGATCTACTGGAAGCATGTGCGACTGTAACAGCGGAGAAAGCTCGCAAGTGGTTTGGGAATTCAGGTTTTCGTCATGAGCCATTGTAGCTGATTACCTCTGTTATATACAATGAAATGAAATTAGAACCATAACAGTACCTCTAAAACAAAATAGAGAGTAAAGCTACAACGATAATAATGGAGCGGGGGTTGTAGAGATAGGCCCTGAATATAGTATCAAAGTGAATGTGTATAGGTAAAGGTATAGAGCAGTAATCATTTAGCCTTGTAGGCTTCTCTTGTACTTAGCGTAGGACTTCAGGATTTGCTGAATTTCAAAATGCACAATACCGGCCTTTTTCCACTCTCCTGCCTCGATACTGGATAGGTCGTCCCCCATACGGAAACCAAGATCGCACGCCAGCGGGCCAAGTGCTGATGGAAGCGAGTATTTCTCAATAAACTCATCAAGTGAGCCACCAACAATGACTGGTGAGGAGAGAGGTTCAGGGTTGTTGCGGCGTTGTCGCTTCAACGAGGACGACTCGGGTGGGGAAGATGAATTCTCATGTCGAGAACGATGGTGTCGAGGTGTCTGGTATGGGTTGTGCAGACCATAAGGACTATATGGTGCATACAGAGTGGATGGATGAGGCAGGACGCCCGGATAGCCATACGGTGGGGCCAGATACGGCGGGAAACCATACACTCCACCAGGTAAGGGAGACATTCCTGGCAAAATGGGCGCACCGTGGCTTGCAGGAGACGCTGCTGCACCACTCGGAGTGTTACTGGGTATCGATGACTTGATCTTGAGAGCATGATCCTTTTTGAAGAGGTTTGAACCCAATGGCGGCACAGCAAGAGATGCTTTATCGGCTTTCTAAACAAGATCTAAGAAGACCATCTGTGCAGAACAGTCGTACACACTATGGCTGCTGCCCAGACGATCTGTCGTGGTCGTGAACTGATGTCGAAATGGAGCTGGGTAACATGGTTAGCGTAGCAATGAATATCTGGGTGTTGTACACAGTTGCCAATGGGATACTGCGTCAGGATAGCATCAATGTGCTCTTGCACATCCTCGTCAAACGGCTGAATACTCAATCAGCAAGACAAGAAACACGTAAGAGGAGAACAACAAACCTGTGCACGATCCGGTTCATCGTCCCTGTTATCTTCACCGATGACAGCATCAAAAAGTCGATCTCCTGCTGTCTTCGACGATGAGGCCCATGGCTGTAAGAGTTTCAGCTCGAGTCCGCAAGGAAATCAAGAACCGACCAGTGAATCAGACCGGGCCTGTCTCACAAGCGGCGGATCCATCTCGATGCAGATCACGCTGGGAAGGACATTCTTTGGTGGTTTCCGAATCTGATCCATCATCGCCTCGAGCCCTTCGGGGCTGGTCAGGGGGAACGATGGGCAGGTTCCGCTCTGTTTGGTCCACCGCCAGCAGAACGAGTCGGGCTGAAGTTCAGAAACATCACGTACTCGAAGCAATGATGCGAGAGCCTCGAGAACGTCGTCTAGGTCCATGTTCGTCCGCATTGACACAGGGCCTAGCTTCTTTGGAGGTGGTGGCTTTCCGAGCTTTGTTTTTGCTGAACCTCTCCTGCCGGTGGTCGCTGGCTTTGCAGGAAGGTTGACGTTGACGTAGACACGAAAGACGGCCACGGACTCGGCCGCGGGCTCACTGAAAGTGCCGCGGAGTGCCGCAGGAGCACTCCTGCGGTACTCCTGCGGCACTCCAAATACTCCACATGATTGATCTCGACGGCAACAACGACGATCAACATGCTGTCCACGTCGGCTGAGACGTTGATGGACGTGGGAATGATCCGCGCAGGTAGCGGGACTACTCCAGACACCGTTGTCGTCGGTGGCAACGATAGAGATCCCACTCCTGCGGCACTCCAGAACATTGTGCCGCAGACTCCACAGCATACTGCGGGACTCCTGCGGGACCTCTGGCGGCACTCCAAACAAGTCTGCGGCACTCCAAAAGAGTCTGCGGCACTCCAGTGTGACGCATGTGACAGCTCTGCGGCACTCCAAAGCACAGCCACTCTCTGGAGATCGCCGCAGGCACATCCAACGCTGTCTGCGCTAGTCAATTCCTAGTATTTTCACATGAATTAGTCGAATTTCAATAGAATTGAGTAATGTAAAATGAGTTATACACATTTTAGTGAAGATGAATCCATGAAGGATTGTATTGTTTCGACATTTGGGCCATGGTGGATGCCTCTAACTACTGTAGAAACCGATAAATTAGATTTATAGATCGTCCTGGACTTCTTTCTGGGCTCTGCAACGAAGCGGATTCACAAGAGTGAGCAAAAACGGCCGCCCAGAAAGCCATCAAACCACATTGATGGGACATCAGCGCCGCGAGGAGCGTTGCTCAGAAACACGGTGACAATGCCTTGGCCTGCCGATTGCTTTTTTTTGAATACTTTCAATGAAATTGTACAAACATAAATATGTAAATATCCTGCCCCGTAGGTCGCTGCGGCACTCCAGCGTGACGTCTGCGGCGCGTGACAGAAATCCTGCGGCACTCCAGGCTCGAACATGCGGCACTCCAAATGTTTTGCGGCACCCCAACGGCACTCCGCGGCACTTTCATGTAGCCCCTCGGCCGCTGGAGAGGATAACACCGGGGATGATGTGCGACTGGAAGGGGGTGAATGCGAGCGTGCACGTTGACGTCGGGCAAGTGCCGGTGGTACTCTTGATGGTGTCGAGTCGACAGGTGTGGGTATAGGATCGAACACAGGCTGCGAATGTACGTGCGGGCCAGCTGGACTGTGCGCAAAGTGAGAAGACGACTGATCGAGCGGAAAGTGTGCATTTGAGTGCACGGGAGTGGGTATTGGTCGAGGGAGGATGTGCGTCTCGGTCGTGCGCTTGGGACGGTGCTCGCGAGCAAGGAAATCGATTTGAGGCGACCGCGGGTGCTCGAGGTGGACATCGAGGTCGCGGGTTTGCTGGAATGGCGGAGCGCGTGAAGGATTGTGGAAGTTGTCATACGGAAAGCCTGGTGCAGATGAGGGTGGTTGTGATAGCCCATCGGACTGAGCTACGCCATTTGAGCCACAGACGATATCATACAGAGGATGATTGAAGCTGCTTACCAGTCCGAGAGGCTGCACGGGGTGGTAAAGGAAAGTGTGCGGGTGGGAGATCAGGTGACAAACATGGGTCGTACGACAAGAAAGATGATGGTTCTGAGAAATTATAGAGTATGCCTGGCAATATTGGACGTGGCTCCCCCATATAGATTAGAGAATGGGATGTGTATTCTTGAAAAGAGGGACAAAGAGAAAAGCGGTGGCCTGAGGCCAAGCCTCACCAAGTTTACTCGCTTCGGCCGCTTATTGCAGACAGGGGGGGCATCAAAGATTGATCGTGTCTACGCGAACAAAATACATTTTTTCGTGCGTCTCAAGGTTTTCGGGAACCGCTGTAAGTGGACTGAGAGTTGCATTTATCGAAACTCTTTTCTTCAATATTTATACGAGTACGCTCATCAGAACCTACAGATGATCTTAACGACTTACCCGAGCTCTTTTATGAGTTCAATTTCAAATGCACAATGATTACATATCGCATTGCATACATCAGATGCTTCTACGGGATTCATCTGGAATTTCTAAGTCCACTATGCCCATTAATCTGCCGAGTGCATCACATGACATGGAAGAGAGGAAGAGGCTTCGAACGTAGAATTGAGGACTTGAGAAACTAGTAATAGTCCAAGAGCTTTGAAAATATATACAGCCAGTCGAGGAATGATAAAACGATTAACGACGAGCTGACAGACAGTACCTACTCTGATGCATACACTGGTGGCCCGTCCCCGACCTGCTTGAATATCTCTGCAACACTCCAAACTCCTGCGCTCCATTCATCCGCAAGCTGCGACACCCGGTCATGACTCGGTCCGCGCCATCGCCATTTCCGGCTCCCGCCAAAGTTTACATCAAAGTGAACGGGCCCTCGACTCACGCCGACTGCTGCGTAAACATCGAAGCCGCAAGAGCCCGCGCCCTCCCGGTCGGGGGGCTGATCGAATATGCCATGATACGCGATAGGCATAAGCATGCCGTTGTACGTGTAGAACAGATGCCCAACATTGGAGCCGGTGCGGAATGCGTAGCCGCAGCCGATCGTATCCCCGGGCCGCACATCGGGGAGACAGTGCTGTCGCGGCCGTCCCTGCACGTAATCACGCCCACCTTCTGGGTCCTCGTAGTATAGCCGCCGGTCATCGAAGTGCAGCGCGACACTGCGTCGATGCCAGCCGGGCAGTCGGTGTGGAGGGTACGGTAGGCACTGCATCCCTTCAGGCGCGGAGTCAATATTCATATCAGCACTGAGACTGGCGGAAGGAACGCACCTAGCGCGACTGTTGTGCCCTCCCCTCTCATTTCCCGAACCGTAATTTCGAAGTAAACACCTCGTTTGGCGTGCGTGGCATAGTTCCCGGCGATAATGGGTAGGTTGCTCGTAAAGCAGCTGTCTCCAACGTGACTGAAGGTCCCGCATCGTCCTTCACTCTGCCGCAGCTCGAGGGCATGTTGGGATCTCTCCAGACGAGTTTCGCCGACACGGATTTCAGTAAAGCCGCTAGCAGGACCTGCAGATTCCATGGACAGGAGCGCCCATCGATCCGCACCGAATTCCACGTACTCGCGTGGGAAGATGAGTGCAGGATGGATGTCGGGATGGGCGGCGCAAAATTGGTTGGCACGTTCGAAGTCGTCTGGCGCGGCGTTATCGCAGGATGAGTACTCGTGCTGCACATTCGGCGCCAGTCAGGTTCTGAAGGAAGGACCTTACCTTTGGCCGATTAATCTCACCTTTTGTCCTGCGGCGAGAGTGTAAATCGGGGGCGGTGGAGCACCCGGCGGAGGTTCAAATGTCGGATGTGAACTAGAAGCGTGGGACTTGAGATGAGACTTGATCAAGGTGAACATGGCGCTAGGTGTCGGGAATGAGATCGCCGTCTGAGTGCACCGCCCTCAATCAACAAACGCCAATGACGTCATGAATCACGCCCTGGCTTTGATTGACATCTGAGCGCCGCAGACCTTGATGCAGTCAAATGTTATTCACTATGTTGGACAATTTGGTGGACGTTAGGTAGAGCGCTTGGCCCCAAAAAGTATGGCATTGGATGAATATTGTTGAGTAATGGCGCTGGAGATAGGTTTAGGGTTGGACAAAATGTAAACGTGATCAAGGCTCAATGCCTACTGCCTTTGCGCGCTATCACTAATCAAAGTAGAATAATTGGGAGTCCATTTGACTGATTTCGTCCCCCTCGGGCAGTCCAGACCATCCCAGTGTTAGGTAAGCAACCTTGGTCGTAAAAAGCATCTACGACTCGTAGATGCTTTTTTTCGCTCTCGAAGATGCAGATTGACAGTATAGGTCAGAATTGTTGGCCTTTCGAGCGCGTTCAGCAGCGGTGATGAGCAGTTGATAGTGACACTGCCACCTGTCGTGTCATCCGGCTACGGCCCGGTAAACAGGTCAGGAGGATATCGATTAATGTTTTTAGCTGTGACTTTTACGCGGGGACGCACTCCGGACCTTACTCTGGCCGCCGCAGCTTTTGTCTCCACATTATACACGATCTATCAGCCATGATTGCGATGGTTTCTGTTGATGAGTTTCTGGCGTGACTCTATTTCTGAGGATGCTAAATATGGGACGTCTCAGTGAGCACGACATTCCTGATCGCTCTCTCAAGTTTTCCCGGGCATGACAGGGGGAAAAAACTGTGGTCTTGGTTTCACACCTGGCCCAGCATGCCCACGTCCCAAAATAAGTCCAGCGTTCTCCTCGTGACTGTAATCGGAGCTCCACAGACGCTATCGATGGGCTCTATCTTTCGGAAGAAAGACGAGACATAGGTTTAATTAATCGGAATCGGACCCAGCGACACGGAGCCCGCAAATATGATCGGATTTGCGGGCTCCTTCTTTCGTGCACTGCGGTATTCCAACTCCACAGGATCTTTTTGAGGAATAGATGCATGGAATCCGGCGTGATTCTGAGCCCTAGGATGTCGATTCTGGCGTTATTACACGCAAAGGGAAGTCAAACGCTGTCGATTTTCCCCCCCTGAGTGGCTGGATAGAACATCGGAACTCAGCTGGGAATATTCTCGGGATCTAATCGCCAAACTGCTGCATTGGGTGCTGCTTATCATTAATCTGCAGGCTTACTTTCAGATCTGCTATCTTGCTTCTGTCCACACGCCACGACGGGCTCAAACGCGTCTTTCACCGCTGACTCAGACATTTCATGCCGCGATCACCGAACCCGACGTCATCGCGCCCGCGGAAATGGCGTTTCGAGGAGAGAATCTGAGGGAGGCGAAGCGTGCTCGGACCCGCTCATTCCTATCAGCCAGTCTGAATTAAACTCAGGCCCTCAATGCGCCTGGACACTTTCATGACTTGACCTTTCTGACTCCTGAAATGGTCAGAGCGCCGGTTTTCAAGTTTGATGTGACCAAGTCAGTATTTGCGTTGACGATCTCAGACCAGCGCCGTTTGGTCTATCAGTGCCAGAACGTACCGAATTGGCAGATATTGGCACGTTCAAGTCAACTCAGGCCCTGGAACACACTTGTATCCTTTGTCCTCAGCGACTCAAAGGCGGTCCGGACCATCTTTCACAGTATTTTACGGAGGAGAAAATATTCGTTTTGGATCAACCGTACTCGATTCCGAATAGACGTATGCCTGAGTGACCGGAGGTCCGACTCAATCCAAGATCTTTGGCGCTACAGTCTCCCCGAAATGCCCGACGACTTTCAGAAGCTGTTCTTGAGATCCGGAGCACACAATTTTGAGAGAAAGAATCGAGAACTTCACAGATATGAGAACCAAAGGTGACGGCGAGTCCACACTAGTGTGACTGACGATGAAAGCGCGGAATCCGCTCTGAGAAGTGCCTAGTGCTCAAAGGTAGCTGAAATTTCCGGGGATGAATTATGACGGAAAAGATGACGTCGAAGGAGGACAGAAAAGTATGAAACGGTCGAAGCACTCGAAGGACAAACACCGGCTATCCATCCGGATATTCATCCGTGCCTCGAACTGAACACGAAGAGCTCCTTTGAGGAAGTGTGAATGGGATCCCTTCGGAATTATTGTGTGGGAGGTTAGATCTTGGTTGCACAGCTAGAGGTTTCTGTGCAAAAGACCTTTTGGGTAGAAGCACTGGGACATCTTGAAAGACAGATCTCTTCGGAACTCAGCAGAGATCTGTGCGTGACTCGCTGTATTCACGTCATCCACCGGGTTTCTATGGCAGTCCCGACGGCAGCCTGGGTAGAAGGAAGAGACCGGTGTAGCGAGAACTCGAGGACAACTCTACGAGCTTGGACGAAAAGGATGATTAAAAGATGATTCAAATCTTCCTGCTGGCCGATATCATAGTCACCGGTGAGAATTCGTGTATCTCTTTAGATGCACTAGCTGGGAGCATAGAAAATTGAATCTGACCGATTATGATACAGACTGAGTGCCAAAAATGCCTGTGTCTCAACGCTATCCGTAAAAGGAATGGAATCGGCATCCAGTCAACTTCCAGTTGCTGTACATAAAAGATTGTCAGTGACCCTCATCCGTAATCATACCATTCCCTTGACCAATGGATCCCTCTGTCCACGAGAAGGCTCACCTCAAGCGCGGAAAGGCCTGCTATCACTGTCGAACGCGGAAAACGGTGTGTGGGAGCCTCTCCGCTCTGTTGTTTCATGATGACCAAGCTCACAGCGGTGTGACGGTGCGCTCCCGTCGTGCGGGCCTTGTGTGCGCTCAGAATGCGAAGACGATTGCGAATACGTTTCCCTCGGACAGAAGGCGAGGGTGCAGATCCTTCAGGAGCGGATTACGGAGGTAGAGGCAAAAATACGACGTCGCGCAAACGACAAGCCTCAATCTGCATCGAAGAGAAAGGAGAAGTCGAGAGACGCGTCTCTTTCCGCGTCAATCCCCCCATTTTCGAGGAGCTCATCATCGATGTCGTCTTTGCCTTGTGCTAGCTCTTCAGCTTATTCCCTCTCGCCCCGAAGCCCCCCTTCGCTGTCCTCGGCCTCTCCTTTCTCCCCTCAAGCACGAGATCATATTGAGCATTTCCCCCCAGAGGCTTTCACTGAAGTAATTCCGCTGCATGTAGCCCACGTCTTGTTCGTTGTGACCCTCCTTCGTCTCCTATCCTCTGTTTGCTGACCGTGGCTCAGCTGGGACACTTTTTTTGCACACGCGACCGACTTTTGCTTCTTTCTCGACGAAGTCCTGACCAAGTTCCGCCCCATCGCTGGTCACCCGAGCTGTATGAGTCCGGCACTTACAGCCACTATCTACCTGCTCTCCGCGCATCTCCTGGCACATCCGAGCATGGACAAACTGGAGTCCTTCCTCGTTTCCACTGCGTGTAATCTGTTGCCGAAGGAGCTTGCAATGCCGACTGTCAACGTCGCTGAGCTTCTGCAGGCGGAGCTGCTGCTGGCCCAATATTTCTTTGCTCGGGGCCGTTACACAGAAGCCCGCTTTCACATGTCCGTAGCCTTGGGTCTGGCGTTTGGCTGTGGGCTCCCCGAGCAAGTGTGTCCTGGCCTCGATCCAATACGATCTCGGACAGCCTATCTCTTCCTACTATCCCTGGACAACGCATGGTCTACAGCGCTGGGCTACGCCCCTCACGAGCCGCTCTCTTCGGCTCTCCGTGATTGCGAATGCAAAGTATTGAACGATGTCTGGTCGACATCCGGTTTTCCGGGGCATGCCGTTCTTCTCACGAAGTCCGTTTCTCTCTGGCAGGGCGTAGAGGCATTAATCACCAGTTCGTGTGGCGAAAGGCATTGCCCGCCATAGACACTGATGCAGACTGATAGCACCGATGCAATTCGGCGATCTCCTGGAGCGATCGGAGAATCTCGAGAAGTTGATTCAGTTATGGTTACTGGAGCTGGATGACTACGAGGCTGGAAACCGGGACGGTGGAGCCCTCAGCCGCGTGCTTCTTTTTGCGGGAACCATCACCCACTACGCGTTCATGAAACTGCGCAGATTGGTATGGGCTCGTAAGACACCGGAGGACTTCTTGCATTCCGCCTGTGCGATCGTGCACAAAGTTATCGCCGCAGTGGAGAAAGAACAAATCACGTACATGAACCCACTCATGGGGGTGAGTCTTTGCTTTCTCCGTCTCAATGCAGTAAATCTCAACGGCATGCACAGAGAATCTGGCACAGTGTATATTCGCTTGTTTCTCATGAAATACGCCAAAGGGGGGCTTCTGGCGAAGATGCCTCTGAATTGGGAATGTCCCTGTACTCCGGACTTGCCGCAATTTCTACTCTACCAAACAGCTGTTACTTTGCAAGGGAGTTCTCGCCCCTGTATGTACCATCATAGCGCTCGGAATATAGGATAGTATAAGTATGGTGTAAACTCATTTTGTGTGATCCGGGTATCAACATGCAGCCGGCGCGGACTACAAGCCACGTATGAGAGGCACTCAAAACCAGCCATGGGACTCCCACACAGCCGGTCCAGCGGGACTCTAGCGGAAGTCTGCGATTGTCCCGCAGTGGCCCAGCGGGAGTCACCAAGCGGTGCACGGGACTCCAGTGGGTCAGGGCCAGCATTCCCACTACAAAATCTCGACACGCGACTTCGAAAAAAAAACAGCGTTTCAAAGAACGATGTACAGCGGAGCGAAGGTAAAAGCCCAGTACAAATAACGCTACCTGCGGCCATCGAACAAGATTTGCCGAGGGGGGGGGAAACGCCGAAATTCTCCAGTAAATGCTCAGAATAATCGGAGCCCTGACGTAAATCGACCTTACTTTACAACCAGTGTTTGACCTCTCAGCATCCCCACGGCCCCGGCTCCAGTTTCAGCGCCGCGAAGGGGAGACAAGGGATCTGCAATTCATTTTTCACGCGCGAAGATCGAATTTGGACGGCAGACGGACGCAGTTTATTCCTTGGACGCGATGCCGGGTGACCGGGACTATGGGAATCTTGCCGTCGAGAGCCATGGGTCAGATGATCTGCTCCGTCCCGGCAGCTGGGCAGAAGCCGTGCTCTGAACGCACAGTCTGTTAGGTTGTCAAGCGGTGACTCAAACTCCTGTGTTCGAGGTCCGGAGCGTTCAGAATCGGAAGAATTTGGTAAAACAGGGGGCCCGATCGCATGGATCCTCTTCAACGAGGTTAGCCAGTCCTTCCTAGCCAAGCACCGCTTAGGAATTAGGATGCGATTCCGGGGACCATGGCATGATTCGCTGCAGATTCAGGAGCGGACAATTAACGGACAGCGGGTGATCGGGAATCTGAAACCATGCCTGGCTGCCGCACGTCGCTGATCTGGAACAGCCTAGCAGCATGCACGGTGAATAAAATTTGCTATACAAACGTACCTGCTGAAACGTTCCCACTATCGGCGGTCGACAGATCAATGCTTTTGAGCTTTCGGGCGGCTATCTGATGTGGGACTACATCGACGATGAACCAATTCCTCTCACACGCAGAGGCTACCCTTTTGGGACCATTCCCCACATGGCATGCCAGATTCCATTCCAATCTTCCAATTCTATCCCATCAATTTCTGGTGTCAGAGAACAGCGTCTGTCTTGGAAAAGAACCACATCAGAAACGAGGTCAACACCGTTCAAGGCCGCGCTTGGCAAGTGAGTTTGTTGCTGACAGTAGCGACTCGACCAACTGCAGCTAGGACAGTGAGATAACCCCTAAAAATGCAACGTTCTTGCTCCGTAATCTCCCTTTCATTGCACACGCAAGTCGATTATGTATATAATATCACCGATTTGCCCCAGTATCTGGCCGATGACGTTCTGATCGAACCCGTTCCGAATTTTGCATTTGCTCTGCTCCCTCTTATCTCACACTAGCCGCGGCCCCGGATTGAGATCGAGATTTCCGCGAGTGCGCCCTACGAACTGGATGTGCTGATCATACGCGCTGAGGGAGCCCACCGCTTCGTTATCCGCACACTGTCCAAGTCAGCAGCTTCTCGAGTCTGGCCATGGCCATCCGACTCCAGAAACCCACAAAGTCAAACTCCCTCGTGCAGAGTCGCCGCGCGCCGCCCAGTGCTCTCAGTCTGGATAAAGTCCCACACATTTTCCCAAAAGCAGGGGATGCGGTGGGACCCCGTCGAGTGTGTACTGCTCCTCTTTTGCAGGCGCGCCACCCTCACGGGGGGCAATACCGACTTGAGTACCGCAGTCGCCTACGTACCCACTGGGTAAGCCCCCCGGTGCTCGGGCTAACATGCGATGTATGGCTGGGCTGCAGAAGGCCACGTGCACCTCTACTCGCTCGCGGCCGATCGATCCCCGGCATGGACACAAACACGCGCCTCGGAGCCGGCCAGCGGTCAACCTCACCAGGCCAAACCCATCGCATTGATCGGGATCCCGATATCACCTTATGCAAGTAGGACCCGGCTGCAAACGCATCGTATTCGATCCCGGATACATGGCGCGCCTGCCCAAATGAATGTTACCGTAATCCCGGAAGCCGTCGAGCTAATCACCGACACAGGAATCGTTTCCCAGCGCGATGGGATACCTAGCAAGCCGCGCGTCACGCCGGGCCGATACCAGATCCAGGCGATCAGGAACTCGACGCGATTGTATACTACGCGGGCTACGTGTCAGTAAAAGGATCCTTGGATTTCAACCCTCACGTGATGTGTTGAATTATGCCACCAGGACCGCTTTCACATCCCCATCGCGAAAAAAACAGTCGGGGAGTATTAAAAATAGATCTGCAGACTGAAGTCGTAAATAGGCGCCTGTCACCCCACCTCCCCGAACCTGTTACTTGATGTCAAGTAAGCGGGTTAGTTGAACACCGAGATCACGTGCGCTGTTCCGCGGATATGTTCAGGACCTAACCCGATCACCGGCCGCCTTCTGGTATGGCTGAGCTCTGCAATTCAGATGCATCCCACGGGACTTGCGGAAGGCTTGTGGAGATCGATGAAAGGGATTACCAAGCGCGATACTCAGTGACCTCATACGTCGAATCCCGTTAAACCGCACGGCACTTTGGTACGGTCGAGAATGTGCGTGTGGAGTTGGAGCTCCGATCCATTTGGTGAGCAGTAGAGCGGGTTAGAGCTCAATGCAGAGTGCGGAGAGGAGGCATGATTGGAAGGGTGTTGCGTTGTTTGCCTTGGGTTCTGACATATCGTCCTCCCAGCTTGATACTCTCTGTGACATTGAACCGCGACTGTGATTGGGCTCAAGTCAGTGAGCAAATGAGTTTTCGCAACATCATAATTTCATTCCCGACGAATAAGCTGTGCAGAAGGCGGTACTGATCGAAACAGCCAGGACTTGAAATTGGGAACAGTGATAAGGAAGGCCCAAAGTGTCGAGACTCATAGGATTGAGTATCAAAATGGACTATACCGGAGTCGAACCGGTGACCTCCCGCATGCTAAGCGGACGCGCTACCAACTGCGCTAACAGCCCTGGAGCATTCCCAGATATGATATAAGTATGATATTTTCGAGTCTGAGAGCCCAGAGCGATATTATAGCCAGATCATGCAATACCATGGTTCGGATATCTTTTCAGCACTTCCCGATACTCGATCCTTCTCTCGCCCAAGAGCGTTCAGGGAGGATACATACAAGAGACTACAAATTCTCAACATACCCAGCTCGATGTCAAAACTTTCCCCGAGAAGCTTGATAGGCCTGAGGCAGCTCAACATTCAACAACGTCGGCCAGCTGCTGACCATCCGGTCTTTCACGACCTCGCACTGCGCCGCGCTCATACATCTCGCATCGCTCGGCACGGGCGCCATCGTCCCGAGCGTGAGACAGCGCACGTGCTTGAGCAGCCACAGCCCGCCCGCCCAGCGCATCGCATCGACGAATGCCTCGAGCTCCGCGACGCGCGCGGGGGCGTCCGTGCGCAGCTCGAGTGCGCGCAGGTTCGGCACGGCCCACGCGATGTGCGCGAGCGGCGGGGACGCCCACGTCGGCGTGTACACCTTGAGCGCGGTGACCGTCGCGTGCGATGCGGCGAGGAAGGCGATCTCCGTCGGGTCGTGTGGGGCGGCCGGCGCGCGGTCGGACTCCATGTGCAGGGTCACGGTGTGCACCTTCGAGCGCGGGATGACGGCGCGCGCGAGGGTCGGGGGGCCCTCTAAGATCTCGAGCTCGGGGAAGGTGAGGGTGGAGAACGCGTAGGGTGGGGGGCCGAGGAGGGACTGCGAGACGCGGCCCTTGATGTGGATCTCGCGGAGTTGGGTGTGGTTTGCGAGGAAGGACCAGATGGCTGGTGATGGAGACAAGGTTACGCACGCCAGCCCGGAGTAGCTGTGCGATGCTAGCCGGCTGACGAGTGCTGAACTTTGTCGGATAACGAGTGTCGATAGATTTATCAGCTTGAGCATATGTGCTGTCCAGGCGTCCAGCTGTGCAGTTGTTGGCGCCGGATGCGCGTTTGACAAATCCCTATGGACCAGTTTTAGATCATATCTAGTTCATTCGTGAGCAGGGCTTCCACGTACACACTCAACTCGCGAATCGAGTACATTCTGCCCCGATATACCCTCATCTCATACAAGAAATCGTCCCCACTCTGGCAGCTATCTATTTCTACCGAACTGGGAATGTAGATCAGACTATATATCACAAAAGTCGACGCCACTCACAGCGATGGACCTGACGAGAACGTGACCGTCCGCAGTCCGACTTCCAACTGCGACAGGCCGTCATTTTCGCAGCAGGAATCATCCCAAACAGGGTCGAATGCGTCGATCTGGGGGTGAGCGGTAAACATTGTTGTGGGAGAGGAAATTGGGATGCACTCAACAGCAACGCAGGGCAGTGGTGGTTATAAATGAGAAGGGGGTCAAAGCGCGGCACTTGGCCACAATAGCCAGAGACAAAGGTTTTTGTCAGCGGGCCCACATCTTACAATATTGAGCACCGAGCCATGCGCTTTGGAGACAAGGCTCAGGCGTGGATGGTCAAAGATCGTGGGAGAGGAGGTGGCATCACGTGACGCATGAGTGATGGGACGGACAAAAGTTACGACGAGAACTCAATGCATCCAGGACCGACCTTACGAAGACCCAAGTCGCGTGGATACCGACAGCCATCCAAGAAATTTTGGCCTTGGCTTACTGAATCGATCATGGACTGATGGTCCATCTAATCTCGCCAGCCACTGCCTGGCCGTTTTTCAAATCGGCAATTTGATGGCGAGATGTTTCAGCTGGCCTCTTTCACACAACCTTCATCTTCTTTCACCGCGCCAGGCCTCGCGCCAGCTTTTTTCTTTCCTTCATTCACCTTTCTTCTCCTCCGTCGCATTCCTCGATTCGATTCTTCTCTCCCCGTTGCGCGAGAAACACACGTCTCCTGCAGCATCGCACCATGGCACCATCCAACACAGTTCCCATCCTCACGACGCCCATCCCGCGCCGCGGCCGCTCGGGGCCCCGCCCGCTCGCCCTCCATATCCCCAGCCCCGCCGCCGGCCTGCGCGCGCGGCCCTCGCCGGACCTCGCACCGGGGATGGTCCTCACGAGCCACGCTTCAGCCTCCAGCCTGATCCCCGCACCGAGCCCGGAGCCGCGCTCTGCTGTCCCCGGGGCGCCGACGCCGTTCATGGCGCGCCACTACGCCACGTCCGACGCGCGCCGGCGGCTCCTCGCGCGGACGCTGCTGAATCGAATCCACGCCGTCGGGCGCCCGCGCGGGCTGGGCCCGAGCGCTGGGTGCGTGTACGTGCGCAGCCGGCTGGGGGCTTGCTGAGTTCCCGGTGTTTCATGCGTTGTGGCCGTTCCATGTGCCTGTGTTGTGCCCGGTGGGTGTTTCCCGTGTTGTCCAGCTTTCCGTCGTCGCCCCTGGGATGCTCATTTCCACGACCACAGGACAGACGATGACTTAGGATAAAGCCACAACTCAATTATTGCTCCTCATAGGAAGCATTGTGATTATGTCCCCGCTATGTATTTTGCAGGAAATCGATTGTTGCAGCGCTTTCCGCTTTCCACCCACTTCAGAGATGCTCAAAGGGTAATGCATCATTTTCCTGGCGTGGGGATCGGAGTACCAGCATATGCAGATCCACGCCAGTGACACTGCGACACTGCAAGCAAAAGTTGCCTTTACTTGATAACCGCCGCGCCGCACCCGCACTATTCGAGTGATTGACGACTTGGTGCTGCCAGCCTGCGATGATGCGCTTCCACGGGATTGAGACGACGTGGGCTAGGGCCGTGGGACATGTCGACAGGCACGGGTCGCTCTCGTCAAGATGTCTGACAGTTGAGACGGCGTCTCGGTTGAACGTGAATGGTAATTATGATCGGATCTGGTTTGATCGGTCGCGCCACTACCGAGACGCGTTTACGAAGGATTATGCCATCGTCAGGCGAGCGGTCGATACGCCTAGCGTTGACGCAGTGCTCGATCTGCCCTGCTCTTGCAGCCTAGGCGTACACACTGCCTTCTCGAGGATAACGACGCCCGATATCAAATATCGAAATGAACCGGACATTGAAACCCTCGACTGTGTTGATTCTGGCGCCAACAACCGCATCAGCAACTGATTCATTCGGCACTAAAGCCTATCGACTAACCCATACGTGAGATCGTAGAGCGCGGCAGTGCCGACTGCACCCCCCGCACAAGCGGCGCTTGCAGAGGCGATCCACACAGTTCGACTGCCGCTCGCAACGGGGGCGCTGGTGCGAGCAAACCTCGTCCATATCCTACGATGCGTTCATCAGAGCTCTGCCTCCCGTGCGGCCATCTCTGCTGTACAGCTTGCATCGGAGCTGCACGTGTTGGGACTGCGGCGTCGGCACCCTCGTCTTGTTTGATAATTTGTTCGAGGGGAGGGGGAAAACGAGCGAGAGCTGGCTGTGGAGCGGCGGTCGACGAAGCAACGCTGGGTCCGAAACATGAGCACGGATGGAATCCCTGTTCCAGCACCGGTCCACCCTGATGGCTGCCGTGATCTCTGCACCCGCGCCTTTCCTGCTGCTGATAATTTCCGGGGCCCCAACGCGCAGAGTGTCAAACCATCTGTTCTCATCAACTCTCTCTCCTCCGGAATCGATAAATGAAAGGGTGTGAAACTTGTTCCACCCAGCCACCTTTGATCCAAGCCCCTATCTGCCTGCCAACGGCCGGCTGGCCCGGGTCTCGACGTGTCGGAGCACAGAGGGTTACTTCCGTGATCCGGCCCTGTCTGAGGTCGGAGATGGTCGGAGTAACCCACGAGTCGATCCGATGTCCGATACAGCGGCCGAGAACGCGGACTGGGTATGTATGAGCCGGATGGTTGGCGTCGGCGACGGGATCTGGGGACTCGCCCCAGGCCGCCACCCACTGCCTCGCCGTCAGTTACAATCCGACAGACGACTGAGTCCGGGCTAGTCACATTGGCAGCTTGGCTCAGGACAGGACCCTATAGGAACCTCGCACTGCAGCCGAGCTTGACATCGGGGAGTGTGAAGTTTCGGCTCCTCAGGGATGGGGCGGTCCCACGTGCGACAGACAGGTCCCCTGAGCATATCAATATGGACTGCATATTGGCTGTAAGCCATCAGCTGCTTGTGCCTCGTCGCAGCTCCGAGCGTGGTGGTGCAAGTTAGGATGGGAGTGCGGCCCGGATTGTGGGAGTGGGGGTGGTTGTTGGAGCAAGCATGAATTGTGCGACAAGGTTCCACCCTCTTCTCTCGACTCCATGGCTGTAACTGTCATCGCCCAGTGGCGATAAGGGAGCCCAAAACCACAGTCGCAGCGAGCTAAACACAACCTAGCCATCACAAAGCACGGAATCGAGGCCATGCTAATCAGGTTCGGCCAACTTGAATGGCCGACGAGCATAGCAAGACACTGCGAATGTGACGAGACTGAAGGAAAAGCGCTGCTGGGCGGACAGGGATTCCGAGAACAAGATGTCAGTCGTGTCAACACACGCTCGGCTCAGCAACATTGTTGAGACTAACACAAGGACCGCAGGGATAACTGCCTGTTGTCGAATCACTTGATCAAAGCGCGGCGGGTGGGTCCCAGGCGTCCTAATCCGGACAAAGACGGCAATTGTACTCGTGAAGAGCACATAATAGAAGTGAAGTGATAGATAGGCGTTTCTTCCCGAAAACTAGCTGCCTTCCATTGTCCAGCGATAGCCGAGTGAGCAGAACATGTAGGTAGGACATGCGTGACATAGAAGCGAGGCTACGCAGCCTCGAGACGGATGCGACGCTTGAGAGAATAGCATCAGAGCTCATGCTGTGGAACCGGATTCCATTTCGGGCCTGGATGGGTGGAGAGGAGTCTGAATGACGGTGGAGCCTGGACCGAGCGAGTGGATTGGTGGACACGTAGCTCGCGCTGAGTAAGCGAAGTGTGGGGGGCCGTTGCGGAAGCAAGGCTGATTGGTCGCCGTCCCGCAGCTTCAGCCCCTGCGTGGTACATACTGACAAGGGATGCAAATGGCCTGCTGCTATAGCTATAGCCTTGCCGGACACAATGCCCGTCAACGACACAATGGACCATTTGTGTGTTGTTTGGATACCGGCGACATCAAGATCAGACGTGTGTAATGTGACACTGTGACAGCACAGCCGCGTATCGTAAGGGGCATCGCGTGCCGCGGCGCTTTGCCAGACGCCAAAGCAAGAATGATCACCCCGCCCCACTCTCCTTATAAGGCCTCTCCCCAAGCCGGCCCTCGTCAATTTAATAAGCCCCCAATATCTCGACCTCGTCGTCTGCTGCCTCTCCCTCGTCGTTTCATCCATCCTCAAGCTCTTCAACACAATCCATGGCGACTTGTCTCTCAGCTTCGCAGTCCGTCACCTTCCATTGGGCGCCTCTGCACCCCACCACCGCAACCTGGAACACACGCGCAGCGCTCGAGCCGCTTGCGCAGTACAAGCCTGTCTGCGGATCGTTCTCCTCGCCCATCTCGTTCGCACCCACACCCGCACCCACACCAAAGCCCAAGCTCCGGCTGTCCGGACCCGACCTACCCCCGCACGCAACGCCAACGATCCGCTTCGACCCATTCGCGGACGACGGGGACGAGCTGTCCCTGGTGGGATCCGTGTCCCCACGGACCCCGCTGAAGACTCGCTCGTGCGCTACAACACCGTCATCGAGAGTCGTCCGCAGCTCGTCTGCGGCAGAGGCCACCGCCTCAGGCTGGTCGCAGAACACACGGCCACGCGAGCGCGGCCGCTCCCCCTGCCCACTCATCCTCTCCACGGCCCCAGCGGCCCAGCGGCGCCGCTCCCCGTGCTTCACACCGCCCTGCCGCTCTCCGTTCTCCTCCCCGGCCTCCCTGACGTGGGCCTTCTCCTCGACCGGCTCCGGCGCCGGCTCGCCCGCCCCGTCCCTCGCTCGTCCACCCCCTCCATCATACACCCTCCCCTCCCCTCCCCGCCCATCCGCGCTATCGAGCGCCGCCGCCGCCGTACCCCGCCGGCCGCACACTCCCCCTGCGCCATCGCCGTCGCGGCCCGCTGCGCCCAGCCCCTATCTGGCGCGCACGTATCCAACGTCGGAGGACCGCGTGCGTCTCCTCGCGCGCACGCTGCTGACAAGGATCAACGCCGTTGGCCGGCCGCGCTCGGTGTATGCGGCGCTGAGTGCGGGCTCCGAGGGCGAGTGCGGCAAGGCGTACACCCCGAGCCGGCTTAGCGAGTGTGTCATTGCGTGATGCAGCGTGGGCTGAAGCGACGGCAGCGGCGAAAATCTCTCTCTTCATCTGCATATCATTTGGTTTCTGCTGTAACTGCTTATCGTGTATTGTATCTCATACTGACCTACTCACTCTCATTGGGCTGTTTCATACATACGTATCCTTAATCACTGTTTATTTGTTGTAAGTATATCTTGGATGTATCAAATACTGGGTAGAAGTAATCACATTCCTTTGGGCTATGCACATGCACTGCTGAGGACTCGCATTGGGTAACGACGACCTGTCCGTCTCAGTCCATCTGTCAGTCAGTCAGTCAGTCTCGATCACACAGGTAAGATGTGGTTGTGGTCCAGCTGGAAACGCCCGCAACGCGAGGCACTATGCGATTCGCTTTGCCGTACGAAACTTGAACGTGGATCAGAGCGCAGAAGATAGATTCCAGCGGCTGCACATGGGCCCCGCGAAATTCGAATACGGTCGGGTTCTTGAGTGCAGACCGCCAGCTTCGAAGGGGGTTGGTGGGTGGTGGGGAGCGTGTGCGCTCGAACGACAGCGGCAGTTTCAGTCTTACGGCTGTGTGTCAAGGGTGAAACATATCCCACTGCGGCGTTCGGTGGCTTCTCAAGAGTCAAGACAAACGGGGCTCGCTAGCGGATGAATGGCCTCGCGGCACGTGTCTGTCTGTGTGTATGCGGCATTGCTGCTGGTGCGAACGGGGGCAATGGGAGCTCCTCGGCAGCGCCAGGCTCGCGTCCTGTGCGGACACCGATGACGCGAGCGACAGGCGGCTCCGCCGGACTGCGCAAACGGAGCGAGGTTTATGCCGCAAACAGAGCCCTCAGCCTTGATCCGAAGGACGTGCGCCATGCCCGGGGCGCGTTTTCGGGTACTTGAGTTCTCTGTTCGTTCGAGAGGCTTCGAAGTTCATGTAATGGGGATGCGGCAGCGTGCAGGTACCGTCGTCCATTAGGGTCAAGGTCTATCTTGATGCCAGGATCTGACTAAGTGCTGGGGGTCCTGGCACTCCGTGACCATATGCCTCATATCTGCTTAGTAAGGTGATATCGGGTGATATTTCGGTGTAGTAAGTGTTGTCGTCGTCGTTGATGGCGATAGCGGCTTCTAGTGCTTTCAGACTGCAGAGCCAGTTTTTTCCTGTTGTACGGCGATTATTGGAGTGCAACGTATGAAGCACGTGAAATTTGCATGCGAACAAGGGACACAAACCCTAATGGTCGAGTCAACTATCATTTCAGGTAGGGCTAAGCACAGCCTTGTTGGCACGTGCAATGATCTCCGGTAGTCTCCGGTTCATTTGCGCTATGTATTGGCTGGGATCCGGATTGTACTTAGCTTGGATCATTGACCAGACTCTCCGCATCAGGATTGACAACAGATATCTCTGCCCCACGCTGTGTGGCCTTCCTACGAACAGCCGCCTGCTGTTTCAAGCGATCCAAATCAATCCGCGGAGGTACATTTTGGAATTCCGATCGCCGAACAAGTGACACACCGTGGGGAAAATGAGTTTTGTGGTCGCGTTCATTTGGGCGTTTCCTTCCTATAAAAAACTACAAAAATGTACAAAAATTTATTTTCATCAAATCACTATTAAAGAGAGGTGCCTTTGCGCACTGTACATGCAAAGAACCCACGGAGTGCACCGGTCCAAGCGCGACGCGAGAGATAACGACGAGATGAAGAGATGGCGAGGGCGATGAGCAACGCCGAATGACACATCAGGGAGGGGTCACGGTGTGACTGGAGATCACTGGTTGGACCCCAACATCGAATCATGATCACACTTTCCTAAAACAGACCTTGACCCTAATGGACGACGGTATGCAGGAACGAGAGACAGGCTCGCGATCTAGAGCCATGGAATACTCGAAGACAGATGCTTCGGCCGCGCGGCGAGAGCTGGGGAAGCGATTGATGGAGAAAACATCATCACTGGAAGAAGAAGGGCGGCTTCGGATTCCACGGCTGCGGCGTCAGACATCGGACCGCTTCTCTTCCGTTCGTTCGCCACAGCAGGGGAGAGTGCATGAGGAGAAAGGTCGAGGGCGGTGCTCGCGATTCGGCTATCCCCGAACGGTTTTCGCATCAATCAGCTTTGGCAACTCTCTCCCTCCTTGGTCGTGGAGCCTGTCCTTGTTCTCGTCAGCGGAGCCGCACCGCCCGTATCCAGCTCTAGAGTACCAGCTGCCGACTCGGACACACGGGTGTGGCGTTCTGCGGCTCCTGCTCCGATGTTCGGGAGCAAGTGGACTATCGGCGCTCTGGCTCGATTCTTCGTCACTGGAACGATATGCCTGTATTGGGAAAGCACCTTCACCGAAGACCAGCTCTGACGCCTGCTATCGCATGTGCGCTTGTCCCCTGTGAGGGGTATTGCACCGTACTGCGAAACGACAGTCTTGCTGTCTGCGGATTCAGAACGTTCCAAGGATGATGCTCCGATGACTGTGCTGCAAGGAGAGACTCGCAGAATTCAAGCAAGGTGCAGCGATCACATTGCGTTCCGCCTCTCACACTCCCTTGTGTCTCTTTCGGAGGAGGTAGCTATCTGCCGGGTGATTGAAGCACGACCTTGACGGCATGTAGGCCGACACTCACAGCACAGAAGTGGGTTGATCCATTCGCATCCACTTATCTCCACGGCCAAGTCGACCATCCAGCTCTCGGACGGGCACCGGCCATCACGCAGTACACGCGCGGTGCTGCGTGGTAGCAAGGTTGCTACGAAGAAGGGCTGGATACATGGCATCAAGTTATCAACATGTGGGTGTCTTCTCCGTCACGTTACAACTGATTGAGCTAAATATGATTGTGCTGGGCTCACGCACATGTCTGTTGCAGAAAAATGAGCAAACAGTCCGAATCGAACGAGCAAATCAATGGAACGATAGCAGCGCGCCAAGTCCATCGAGCGTAAAAGGGATGGACCCCTGCCATGCTCCTCGCTTAATCGAGTCATCTTGGTTTACAGCCGATGCCTCGCGTGGTAATACTGGATGAGATGATACCCAATGTGTTGTGGGCACGTCGTTGAAAGCCCCCAGGAATCACCCACTTGTACGTGCTTAATTTTTAAACGTTCTATGAATTTGTACAAGTCAGTGCACAAATATAAAGTTGGAGTCGTTAGTCAGGTGGGCCGACTCATCGTCATCTCTTGGAACCAATCCCGAAAGTTTGTCTATGTCAGAGAATGCCAGTCACTCCACATCCTTGAAAGCTCCCAAGTTCGACTTCTGCTTCATGTAAAGGTCGCCGGCCTGAACGACTTGACCGGCTAAGAACAATATCCAATATGCTTTTTCTGCCCTCTTGCCTCTTCCCTCGCTCCGGATTATCACCAGTTTGTCGTCGCACTTTTGACTCGCAAGTATCGTGCCAAAAATATCAATCACTTCCGGCAATGTTCGGATTCGGCTGCTTTCAAACACACTGTTCCTCCCCAGAACATAGAGGAATATAGTGAGTCGGACCTTATGGAATGCTCAGTTCCCGTACGTAGTTCATCGCAGGAGCTAGACCTCCCAGGTTCTCCCGAGTCACAGTCCTCTTGTTCTGTCTCAGAGTCATCCATATTTGGACGTGTTCTCCGTGGACGCTGATCAAATGTATATAAATGCTCGTGCTCTGTGCTTTCTCTCGATCTACCTTGCACAATGATATTCTACGGGATCGAAGCCCTCAAGGGTATGTCCCAGTAGCGAACGCTGTCTACTTTATTGATGCCAGGTCTGTAAAATCAGCGAAATTCTCAACTCTGTGGCTCTCCGACGCCAATCACCCACGGTCGGAGGCTCCCGATAAAGACAATTACCGGACCGGACCACATGACGGCGGCGCAGATCTCGGTCGTTCTCGAGTACTGCCCACCCCGGCGGACCCTCAGACGGAAAATATACAAGCACCCGGCGTCGCACCGGCGCTATCCCTCCGAACCAAGACAAGGCCTACGCCGCTGCATTGCATGGATCCATGCCACGGGTTGACAGCGCTCAGGAGTGCGGGCTTGGTCGCATGGGGGGATATCGATTTGGGAGTGCAAGTGGGGCGCAGGAGGGAGGAATCGCCTCGTCTGATTCATAATGAAGCTACACAAGGGAAGAAATCCTGTGAAGATACCAATAATGCGTTATGAAGTCGACCACTGTGCAGTGACCAGTTGGCCTCCGGCCCTGGCTAAGTGAAGCCGCATTGAACTTCGATGAGATGCGGGAAAGCTCTGCTTTGAGATCTTCTCTCGGAGATGTCGTTTATCCTCCTTATAATTAGCGTGTAACAGCTGGTCGTGAGAGGCAGTGTGTTCGTAGCCCGAGTCCTGAGGTTTAGTCGGGATCTCAAGGTCTGCTGGCTCCCCCCCTCGTATTGCCGTGGTAGTAATGAGACACAAGTCGAGGGCTTTCGCTGTGCTTGCGCTGAAATTTGAAGGAATTCAAATGCGATGGTCTCTTGAGTTCTCTTCGACGCGTCCAAGCAAGGAAGAAGGCTTCGGAACATGCGCAATGTCAACGCCGAGCGAAGCTACTTCTGACCGTGAGGGCTGTCCTTCCGAGGTCAGAAAACAGGGGATTTCAGGGCTCGCGTCTGATATCAGTCTGAACCAACTGGTTCTCACATTCCCCCGCACTCTTCTACTCGTTTCGACCGGAGGCTTGGGGCCAACCAAAAACCAAACCATCAGACTCGATTGATGATCAACATGGCAACGTTCCCACGCTGTCGTTTCCTCTCTCCCGTCTTGCCTCTACCTCGTTGTCGTTGCCCGCAGAAGCACCAGCACGACTCTCGCTACCACATTCTCTTTCCCCTTCCCCTCTTTCTCCCGTGTTCGCATGCTGTTCTACGCCCTTCTTGCTTCCGCGTCGGTGGCCCTCGTCGCCGCGCACCCTGACCTCCCGAATGCCCATTCGCGCCAACTGACCCGCAAGCACGCCGGTGATACCCATGCCCCGGCTCTGAAACGAGACGGCGGCTCCGGTGTGCGTATCACCAACTAC